TGTGCATTCACATTAGAACCCTTGCCCACCACTATAGCTTTTGTTATAATGTACAGTCATCTATGAAATTGTCCTTCTAATATATGAGGGATATCCGTAAATCAAGCTCGCCGTTTAGCCAAGCAAGATATAGTTTGAGTCTGAGACCAACGTCATGTTCCTTACTTTATTTACTGCATACTCTCTCAAGTGTCAATTTCATTCAAGATTACTTTTAATACTATGAGCGGAAAAACCATCCCATTAGAGTGTGAGCCAGAGAATAGTTGTGAATGAAGTAAGGAAGGATCCAACATGACGTTTCGCTTGATTGCGACTAAGCTGGATGAAGACCTTAATTTACAGACCCTCCTAAAATATGTTTTCAAAGTAGGGGAGAAAAGTGACGGGGGAATTTTTCTGTCACTCTCTTATTGTACACTCTAAAGGCCATACTAATTGACAAGATGTAATTTACCTTTTACATTACGGTGCTAAATTTAATTTAAAGACTTTATGGAATACAAAATACCACATAGTGGGTTGTAACAGTTGAAAAGGTGTACGTTTTACAAATTTAACTTAAAAAGGTCCCACTACACCAAAATATCCCGCTCATTAACATGAATAACATTTTAAATCTTTCTGTACAATGACCAGCGTGATGTAATTTAAAAAATTAAATCGTAACTAGCTAATATTCTGAAAGGCTGAACACAGTGCGAGAAAAAAACTCGTAACAAAACACCACAAAGTGCTTAAAACAAGTCTAATTAAACGCCAATGCCACGGTGAAAGACAAAGGAAGCGGTCTTACAGGTTACCGAAAAGGAAACTCCAGTTTTAGCTTCATGACTCACTCTCTTGCTATATAAGTGCATTCTTGCACACCGCCTGACCTAGTGACTTTTTATACATTACGTACGTGACATTGTGTAGCCCATACTGATACGATGGGAACAACAGGCTAATGGATAGTTTCACGTGATCTATGAGTTGATTCGACACTAGACTGACTTTGGAATAATTAACAATTAAGTTTGATGATGACTGATCAGTTAACTTTATGTCTAGGTGAAAAAATATATTTCTATAAATCAATTCTTAAGTTAGGCCTAATTTAATCTGTTGTTGTGTATTTTTTTTTAAATTTGTTTTTTCCGACATATGTAGGCTTAGTGTTGGTAGTTTATTTTTAACAAGGAAATAAATCTGAATCTAGGTCAAGTAGTATGGCAAATACAAATTTTGCAACTCAGCAAAATATTTAAGAAACAAATATTAAGTTGTCCCATGGAATATCATTTTATGGCCATGTAAAAGATGTTTTAAATACATTACTCAAAACGCAATAACTAGGTACCACATTTAAATCACAAAGTCTTCAATCCCAATATACTTTTTATACAATATCCTGATTGCCTTATACATAGTTAATAAAAATTCCGTCTTTGGTTTATGGTCCAAACTGAAATAGTCTTGATTTAGCTTTTAGTTCAAGTGTACTCTTGTAATCAAAATTATAGAGCAACATTTTGCCGGTTTGGACACAATATTTTTTATATTCAAGTAAAAATATGTTATTTCAGCTAATACAACGGTGCTATTTTCAGTTTTCACATTGACGCCTTGAGAGTCTAGTGTCGCTGGTGACATCAACAAATGATGCAAATTTATGTACACACAGAGTTGCGATTGTTCTGGCAAATGTGACAGTGTTGATGTTGTGTAAAGGGAGCTGTGGCCTACTTTTCTTTTTACTGCAATTCAAATACTCTTTGGCTCATGTACATGAAGGATGAATGTATTTCCTAAAATGCGAAACTAAAAAGTACATCTCAAAACTTAACTGACCCCATTTTAATGTCCTGTTTGGAATAGCAGTACAATACATTTAAACAAAACAAATTAATATGGATTAGGCTACATATTAAAACAGCAAAAAAAGCTATCAGGACACTGTTGGAGGGGTGTTCAGGGGTGACACACGTTTGTACAAAATTTAATCAAAATAGGTTACTGTACTGCAATTATTTATGTAGGCCTACTTGAACAGATGGTGTGTTTATCGAAACAAGAAGTAAATCAGTCTTGGGGCTACTTGTAGGGCTTTCTATAAGAAATATGGTAATAGGCCCTAGCTTGGTCATGGGAAATGTGTGAAAAAGAATCAGATTTTAATAAGTTTAAGAAATTGCTCAATTATCACATATTAAATTACTACTACAATTGCTGCCACTAGGATTAACACTATTCCATACTTTTGTAAAGAAATATGAATCAAGATTAATAAACATAGGTTTAGGAGGAAGTCAGTCAGTGTAAGACAAATAATTCATTCATTCACCGCTGCAAACATCTAGCTCATAGAAGTTTGCTGTCGTCAGCTGTTTTACTCGGTACAGCAAATTCAAATGTTTCAATACTACTAGTGTACCTGTTGCTCGAAATCAAGCAGTAGTCAACTACCGGTATTATACAGAAGGTATTTTAAAACTACAGTAATAACAGTCATAGTTTTCGATGAGTTTAAAGGACCCGACTAAATGTTTATGTAGGCTAACTAATTAAAATACTCACGCTATTTAAAAGTGCTTTAAAATAATAAACGCTTCTTGTAAAAATATTTTAGAATTTTTGGACCCGGCCATATTTTTAGTGTTTTCTACCAATGTTTCCCGACTTAAAGCTATTACCAGTAAACATTTCTTGCACGTATTTATTTGATCTGACTTTAGGTAGGTTTACTTTACCACTGTGAAAACATGATGTGGATGTTCTTCATGGGTTTTTTTTTTTACTTCCAAAATAAGTTGCTTAGCATAACTGGCAAACATGATTCATTTCCCCAAGTGATTGTGTACCGGTACCTGGATTCCTTACTGGGAGACCAGGCCACTCCTCTACTCTTCTCATAAGTATAAGATTTCCTATTAATTGTCTCCTCCTCATGTTTTCAATAGGCTATTTCTCCTTTAAATTCAAGAAATTTTCTGTTCTTCCAACAAAACTGATTAACTGTTTATATTTGTTTATAACCTCCTTCATATTACAAACATGAATATTTACTCCCAAAAAGCTGGTGAGTTTAATTTTATATAGGCCTACAGCTGTTTTTGTTTTTAAATTTGTTTTCAATGTAATTCTTATGGGCAAAAATGTGACCTTTGAAACGTTAAAATCGGTCCAGAAATAACGGAGGAGTTTTGTTCACAAAAAACAGCCCTCATGTATTAATATAAGAGATATTAGCCTATAAGCTAATCCCATTGGTAAAAGTACAACTATTGGGACAGATTGTGCTTGTATTTTTGGACATCCCTCTGTAATTAAAACAACAAGTAATACAATCTCTAATTAACACACCGATTAAATTATAAACAAATAATAACAATAATTGGGTTGCCACAGAACTTTTGAAAAATAATTCTCACATTTTTCCCACTCGTGATTCTTGGTTGCCAAATGCACCTTTAACCATAAATGATTTAAGTCTTCTAGTCATAACAGGTGTACCAGGATTTCAGAAGGTTGCATTACTGTACGACTTTGTTAATGCAGTCTCGGTCGTAACATCAGACACGAATATAAAATCATTTGTTTTAAGTGCAAGCATTGATCATTAGGCTACAATCCTAGAAAAGTCTTCTTGACATAAACTAGGCATAGAGATTAAAATACTCAATTTTGTATAAAAACATTTTACAGCTTGGGATAACTGTTGGAATGAAATAGGTGCTGTTGGGACCACTAATTAATGTAGGTAGGTAATTAGCCTATGATTAAAATTTACATCACTTGTTTTTAACAATTTGATGCGGAAGTAAAACAGAAAAAAGGTGGGAGAGCCAGCACGGCTGGACAATAAGAGAATCAGATTAAGCCATGAAGGCGACCGAGCTTGACTACTATTATGTGTCGATTCAGTGGAGCGTGGTGGACACACCCAGCCATCTCATCACCATAGACTAGACTGTAGATGGGGGAAATAAGACAATCAGTGTGGAGTCTCCATTAGTAAAGTATTTTAGAGTCTGAGATAATTGTTGACAGCAATACCCTCTTGATATGGTTGAAAATTAAACACGGTAAATGTACCATTGACAATAAATAGTAGGCCTACAAGTAGGCCTACACTTACCATCCTAATGTAGAATAAAGCTTATTTATCTAGTGTGTGTTTTATGGACGTTGAGGTTCTAGTATTGGACAAAACGTTTCCTAAATCCTCGGTGTAAATTTTATGATTTTTTGCTATAGGTACTGTTTGGTTATACAACATAATTACGAAGCTTTATTTAGTTGAACTATTTTCTTAGAAAAGTCGGTAGCTTTTAAATGGTTCGAAACTGGACTCAGCTGCCCTTGATCTTTGGACTTTTAATAAATTATGCTTAATCAGTAACTAAGCTACACAGATAATTTCAGCACATTTTACAATTAATTTAAAGGTTTTGTTGGGTGTAACAAAGTATTAGGTAAGTTACATTCATCGCTACATCATGTTCGATGGTTTGGTCGTAGCATAGAACATGAGGTCTGATTATTCTGTTGACAAGAGGTGTCAGCATTCTATCTGACGTGTATGATATCAGATCCGAGGTGTGGGGGCAGTCAGTCGGGTTGGAAGAGTGCAAGGGGTGTAAAATGGGAACTCGTGGCCGCGTCTTTCCGCTATACCGGTAGGCCTATATTTCTCTCCCCGCAGTCGTCCATGGAGTGGACTTTTTTTTATTTTATTATAGAACTACAGTAATTTTAGTAAGTTAACAAGTAGAAAATCATTCCGAATTAACTCTTTTTAAACGATAAACTAAATATTTAAATCTTAACTCTGCTTTCCTTTATTCAATTTTCTGCCTTCCCCATGCATGCGTAGTCATCACAACAGAACCAAACATTAAAATATTTCAAGCATTTAGCACTACCCTTTATAGCAGCCAACTTCAGCGAATGTATCAAGGTCAGTTCAGGTACACATGATATGTCAACGTAAATTGATATTTCTGCATGTTACTTACTGGCTTTTGGTGGACTGGGTGGAACAGCTGGCTTGGGTTGCTGGTTGGCACACAAACGCCCCAACTTGGATGGAGGTTTCAGTCCCGAGGGTTTTGGACCATCCATCGGTTTCTTTTTATCTTCCTCACTCATTGTGACCGCACTTTTACACTGTATTTTCCACAAATTCACACTAAGTTACCACCTGACTATTAGTTTTCATACTGAGGAAGAGGGCGGCATCTGAAACAAAAAATTATATTAAAAATAGCAAAAACACACAAGGTAAAATTCATCTTTGTCTTAAGGTACCGGTACTTGCAATGTCGAGTCGGCGTTACAATTTTTTTTTTTATCTAGGCCTACATAAAAAAACTTAACTTGGACATCAAAAGTAAAATAGGACTGGAAAAGTTCTTTAAATACTTTTCCTTACTAGCCAATAGGCTTTCATTTAAAACATAGCCTATTCTCAATTTAAAAAAATATTTCATCCTTACCGGCTTTCAAACAGAGTTGATTCTGCACTACTACGCTAACTGGTTTACTAGGATAACAGACCTGACGATGAAGTACCAAAGGGACCGGCCATAGTGCAATATGACTTCTAATTGTGAAGACGGTAAGGATTAAAAATATGTTTACATACTTTCACACAATCTGCCACACTTGAGAATCATCTCAATTTGAGTCTTAATAATAAAACTTAGATTAATAATTATTTAGAAATAAAAAGTTCAAAATATTACAGCTTATGAAGGTAAATGTTTATTGTAAAAACATCTCTCTGTTTTACGAAATATTATCAGCTGTTGTAATAAAGTAGTGCACCTGTTGATTGAATTCGAGCAATTGTTGATGTAGGTTATCTCGCCGACTCTTTAGTATAAGATTGTGTTACTTTATTTTATGTGTATTTTTGTTAATATTTTCTTAATCTAAGTTTGCCCAGATGTTGCAGCAGGCGGATAAAATATTTGTCATCTGATGCTAGACTCAACAATTTAGTAGGCCTATTTAGTTTAAACCTTGTAACTGGACACACTACTTGAAAAAGTGACCAGTTTAAATTTATGATTGTAAAGATTTTGTGATCGGTACTTATGGGAAATAAATGAATTGATTCATTTATTCAATTGCAAAGTATTAACAAGGTGTTATTTCAAAACGAATAACAGTCATAATTTCCAATTACTTAAAGGGTCCCCTTCAGTTAAATCGAAACTGAAAATTAACTCACTCTGAAAAAGAACTTTCGTGAGTGTATCATGTGTTTACTATGAACAGCTGTAATAATACAAATTATTCATCTGTTTAAGTAGAGAAAATCTTTTCTTAATAAGAAATACATTGGGGTTTTGATGGCCTGTGGGGCAAAGCCCGAGGACTTTTATTAGGCCTACAGGAATTAATGAAAGGGGGCGTCTACACAAAAAAATAATTTTGACACATTGTTTGTAAAAATCCGTCCATTATTTACAGAGGACTAGTGTTTCATAGAAATCGCCTTAACCTATTATATATGAGGATAGTGTAATAAGTGTTCTACACGTCACAAGGTAAAAGTCAGGAAAATGTGACATCGCTACCTGTTTTTATGCTAGGCTGAGCACTAGGTTTATTTATTTATTTATTATTTCCCAACGGATTACACCATTTTACAATATTTATGTATTCAATGTTTAAGAACATTTATACTAAAGAATATTAATTTATATTTTATTTTACTCTGATATTTACCTAAGTTTAGGAATAATATAATAGGAAAGTAAATTGCACCCTGATTTACAGAGGCTTATTGTAAGTATGTACCAAGTACCCTAAAACAGTAAACTAGTATCAAGCTAAAATGTTAATTACTTGTTCACAACAAGCTTAAAGAAAAAATATTTCCAAACTGTAGTAGGAGGCTACTTTAACTATACAATACAGCAACAAAACATACCTAATCGGCAAAATAGTAACTTGTCAGATAGTGTAGGATGTTGCAAAATACACAGAACACTTTCGTAAATAAAAAAAACCCTAGTATTGTTACTGACCACAAGTTTCACAAAATCTAAACCATCGAATTCCACCACTGACACAGCCACAACTGGGACTGACTCAACTGGGGTTAGGGCAAACATCCAAAAGGCAGCCTTCCAACATTAGTAATAATTCAATCTATTAGTTAAAAATACCATTGCAGGTAACCTTATTTATTTTAATTTCTTGTTTTTGTGGTAACTACAATGATGTGATGTTACAAAAGTACAATTATTTTCATTGGGATTACTCAAATGGAAAATACCTAATGGTAATAATGTTCAACATTGAGTCCAAATCATTGACTATATATACAGGTAGGTATATCGACTATACCTACCTGTGGGTTTATATAGTCAATGGTCCAAATTCAAAATTGTACATTGGGGCCTTTTGCACTTTGAAAGTTAAAATCTCCAGTAAACAAAATAAAGGAAGGTAGAGCTTGTGCGTTTCCTGGTGAAGCCTGGGAGTAGGTGGTTAGAGTGAATTAGGTGGTTTTGTAGGGGCTTCAACCCTACCCCCAGGCTTCACCAGGAAACGCACAAGCTATACTGTACTGATTTCCTAAAAAAAAAAAAAAAATTCAAAGGAACATACCATTTGGTTATTATTAATCTAGTTGAATATCCTACTGAGTTTAAGGTGAGTAGATCACCTGTAGATCATGTTATGAGCTTCTGTGTTAGAGGTTAGAACAAAATACTATTATTAGGTATATAGCCCACTATCAGACTTTGAAAAGGCATGGTAAATTTAGCGCAGAAAATAATATTAAAGTAAGCTGGTATTGCTATATATAGCCTATTGTAAAAAATAAACTTGATGGGACCACTTTAAAAGCCTGGTAACACTATAGTACATTTGACTCTTACAGTGGCAGTATGTTGAGCGCCCATAATTGTATATGTGCTGGAATTAAACACGCTCCTCTCGCCCCCAAATCTGAGACACTAGCAACTAGGCTATCAACACATTTCTAACAATCTTAGGCCTGCTGTTTTCAAAGGTCTTTTTGTAGAGTTGCCGTTTGTTTTAGAGTTCAATTCAAATAAAGGTTTTGTTGTTAAACTACGACTTGACTTATTATTTCTGGGGAAACCAACCCTTCTCACATGAGTAAACTACCCTATTACAATAAAATAGTAAAGCTCAGAACTACGCCCACGTGTATAAGTTCACGATAGCCTAAGAAATAGAGAGAGTAGGTGTTTATTTTGTTCTTTACAATTGTTTACATGAGGCCCCTAGGTACTTAAGTTACATAGTTTTTAAAAGTTATATAAATCAATAAACATCACGATCACTTGTGTGGAATTATCTTAACTTACTATCTTACCTAGAACAACCAATTATTTTATTGGGACGTTTGACTATTGATAGAAAAGGTAACCTGTTTACATGTCAATGGTTAAACCTAAAAGGCAAAACAATTAAAAATCTCACTAGTTATTTAGTGTGGGGTAGAGATGAGCATCCATAGGTCAACCATCGATGTTCACCATTGGTAACATCGACGTCAACTATCGATGTAGGCTACTGTACAGATAACATGTTTTTGGGACTAAAACATCAATGTTATTTTTAAGTTTTTCTTATGATTTTTTAGGCCTACTCTTTAACTTCGTAAATTAATGAAAAATTTCGATATCTCAATAAGTTACTTGGCCAAAAACATCGCTGTTTGACGAAAACATCGATGTAATGTGTAGATTTCCATATCCGTTGTCAAAAACAACCTAATGAAAATATCGATTAAGTTAACTTATTTCATTCCATATATCGTATGGTTGGTTAGGTTAACCTAACTAACCAAACGATATATCGAATGAAACAATCGATATATTGAATAATCGATAGCTTGAATGATATTTTCACAGAAGTCTACCCTAGAAAAACATCGATGTTTCGAAAACATGACTATCCATGCTCATCCCTAGTGTAGGGCATAAGAACTGATATGAGCGACTATTGACTTAAGCAACCAGGTTAAAACCATCAAGATCAGATAAGATATTTACCGTAACTTGCTGGCAAGATGAAAGTAGGCTAGACAAGAAAATTGCTCCTAATGACGAAAGGGCAATAATTAATTATTGACGATCTGACATTAGCCTAATATATTAGCGACGGTCTGTTTGAAAAGTTCGTTATTGCACCTTTGTGTTGACATTAAAATACTTAAAACTGACTTCGCATTTATATCGACTTAGACATCAACAAAACAAAGCAAGCAATCTATAATAACAATCACGATCACGCACGAACGAACTGAACTGCTGCTAGCTGCTAAAAACAACAATCAACAACATAGAACGATGATAGAACATAACATAACATAACATAACATAAAAAACAACCAACAACTGGTTGAGGAAACTTTAAGTTAAAACAAAATAATAAAAAAAAAACATAACACCTGTTCACACTTCACAGCTTCTTAGATCGCTCTTACTTTCCCAGCCCTGCTGTCGTCATGATATCGTAACTTTTCTCCAAGGCGTATTCTACACAATATTCGTGGCGCGTAGAAAATTTTATCATATACCCTGAAGCCCTAGCCTCCTCTTTAATAAATAATACGTGTGGATTTCAATTTAATCAAAAATCTAACAGTTGGACAATCTAACATGATCTAACTGAGATTATACCCATGATTATACCGGTCAACATCATAACATGTCACAAAATACAACGTTGACAATATACGGACGATGTCCCATAACATCGATATCTTAAAGCACCAACAAAAACCGCTATAGGATATCGGCAATCTGGGACTCCTCCGAACTCTACCACCACGGCCGCCTTTAACTCCGGTGGCCGTGCTACCATCCTACTGTTACTCTACTCCGGTGTAATTTAACAGTATGACTTTTATTTTAATTAGTTCGCCATTTTATAAGAAATTATACAATACAAGTTTATAATACTTTGGTATTATAATTTCAAATCCAGTAAAACATATATGGCATTATATCGCCCATCCTTTAAGAAAGATTATTGATTCAATAAATTTCGGTCATTCTGCAAATACAATAGGCTCTAACAAAAAATTATTTCAGTAGGCCTACATTAATGGCCTACTCTTAGATATTCAAGATCGATGATTAGTTTATACAAACCAAGTTTTGGGCTGTTTTTAGCTAATTTTCAAATGAAAAAGCTTTTAGCTTATGCTACAAAAATACATGTGGTTGATATAAATAAGTGTGTCACCAAACTAACACATATTGGCTCCATCTTGATAAATCTGTTGTTATGGAAAACAAAGTGGACATAAATTCAATTGTGGAACGGATGTTAGGAGCCCGTCAGTTGCGATCTGGTAGAACCGTAATAATAGCGGACTATGAGGTTCGTTATATCATTGCTAAATCACGGAAAATTTTCATATCCCAACCAATGCTGCTGGAACTTGACGCGCCTTTAAAGGTATGTGGCGATATCCACGGTCAGTATGACGACCTTCTTCGTATCTTTGCTGTCGGAGGATTTCCTCCCAATGTCAACTACCTTTTCCTTGGCGATTACGTGGACAGAGGACAACAATCCATTGAGACAATCTGCCTCCTCATGTGCTACAAGATCAAATATCCAGAAAACTTCTTCCTTCTGAGAGGAAACCACGAGTGTGCGAGCATCAATAGGGTTTACGGGTTCTTCGACGAGTGTAAACGAAAATACAACCTCAAGTTGTGGAAGCTGTTTTGCGAATGCTTCAACTGTATGCCAGTAGCTGCGATCATAGACGAAAAGATATTCTGCTGCCACGGCGGGCTCAGCCCGGACCTCAAGAGCATGGAAACGATCAGGCAGATAGGACGACCCACGGAGGTACCAGTGCAAGGTCTTCTCTGCGATCTCCTTTGGGCCGACCCCTCAGATAATGTAGTAGGCTGGGGCGTCTCGCGTGACCGAGGAGTTTCATTTACGTTCGGGAAAGAAATCGTCTCCAGATTTCTCATTAAGTTTGACCTAGACTTGATCGCCCGAGCCCACCAAGTCGCTCAGGATGGCTATGAGTTTTTTGCAAATAAACAACTAGTCACCATCTTCTCCGCCCCCAACTACTGTGGCGAGTTTGAAAACGCCGCAGCCATCATGACAGTAGCTGATGACTTGACCTGTTCTTTTCAAATTCTAAGACCTCCTAATTATATAAAATTACCAAAAATATCGCTGTCAGCTAAAAATTCTCTTACAAAGAAACAATCATTCTAATACTATTGATAATGTAACTATATTGTAAGCGGGTTTTGAAGTTCAGAAAATTATAACAACATTCTAATATTCCTGTTTTATAGCATGGTTACCGTACCACATCCTGAACGGTCTCAAATGCCTAACAGTTCTTTAGGTTTTTTGTATATAATTTTGTCCACAGATAGCTTCAAAATTGACTGTGTTGGTGGATATGCATCACTTCAATTTACAAATTTAGATATTTATTGACAGGGAAAAGTGCTTGCGATTTGTTGGTTTAAGACATGTTGCATGGATCAGCCCCTTGGTAAAATTATTCCTTTCTCAAACAGTAGTAATACCACTTAATACCACCGCCGCAGCAAACCTGCAGACTAAGCGAATTTCCATTTGCCAAATTTGATTTTCACAAATCTATTTAATTAATTAGGTTTAACGAGTACCTAATTTGTTAGTTTGCTGCCACAGGGAGAGTAATAAAGTGTGTTTTTCAGTAAAATGTAAATATTTTCAATACATTTTACAAGTTTGATCAAAATATAACAAGCACACTACAATAATTTACTTAAATAGCCTACACAAAATTAATAACATCGGAATTTAAATTTCCAATTTTTTTAAATTTTCTCCTTAAACAAAAACCGTAAAAAAAAACACATAACGACACTACGAAAAGTGTTTGGTAACTTATGCTTAAAATAGGTATTGGTTTGTTTTACTGATATAGGAATAATTATAAATTCAATTAATTTAAATTAAAATTAATATTAGTATATAGCCTAACCTTGGGATTGGAGAAATGTTGTAAGTAAGAGGGTCAAATGCTTTGGACCTTGCGGTTTGAGTCAAAATTGGGTTGCTTGGAAAGTACTTATTAAAAAATTGTTAATTATAATACCTATTACGATGATTAATTTATACCATATTGTACGATATTCCTATATCACGGAAAAATTAAGAACGCGTTCACCACAATATTTAAAGAATATCTTCTGCAGACTTGGGCGATGTTGAGGGCATCACTCCTGTGTTCACTTAAAACTTTGAAAATCTTCTGCGGTCACGACAAAATCGTGAACATCTTCGGCAGGTATGACAAAATATAGAACGTCTACGTTAGGTAGGAACGATACTGAGGTACAGAGAAATTGTGAAAGTTTTCTGAGGTTACGTCAAAATGTGGAGATCCCCCGTGATCCCTTTTAGGTTGTGAAGATGATTTTGATGATTGTATAGTATTAAATACTAGGTAGCTAGTTGAGATAGCTATAAAAACATTAATGTATAAAAATAAAAAAGTTAACATTTTCAATTTTTAAATAATAACGACTTTAGAATTACTGTAGAAGGAAATTTATATACTAATGATTTCATACCCAGTCATTAACCCTTTCAGTGCTATGCAACGATATATCGTTGTGCGTCTTTTTCCCAAAAAGTGCTATGGAACGATATATCGTTGTCCGCATTTCATCCGAAGAGCGCTAAGTGACGATATATCGTGTCGGCGCAACTTTCGATCATGTGAGTTTAAATAAGCATTTTGGTCGACTCGGTTGTAGTTTCGAAAGCGATGGTTTCTTTCGATTCCTCGTACGACGGAGGCCATCATTCCTTAGCACTTTTAAAATAAACAATTTTATTTTTACGATTTTTTTTCTCGCACAGTAGACTTTGCCCTCGTGGCAAGCCTAGCACTTTTTGGACGAAATAAGTAAATAACTCTATAGCATTTTTCAGAAAATTACAGAAAAATATTCTAGCATCGAAAGAGTTAAACAAAGAGTCAAGAGTATTTATTCCATTGATCTATAATAATAATACAGAAATAGGAACAGTCAATAATGTTACTAATTGCTAAAACATTAAATTAAAATTAACTAAAAACAATGTACAATAGGTTAAAACTTAACATTAAACTCTGACAATTCAAATTCATCAAACGAATAAAAAGGGTTTTCAACTAGGTAGCCATTTTTTTAGAGTTAGTTTTAGATTGATTAAATGAGATGAGTTTTGCAGTTTGAGGGAGCCTATTAAAAAATCTAACACAGTTGGCTTTAAATTATTTACCTATTTTGGCCAACCTGTGTTGGGGTAAATCCAGCTAGCCTTGCCTCTATGTCATGTGCATGAAAGTGGTCTCTGGTAGTGAAATCTGAAAGATGTAGTTTTGTGTGGATAAGTACTTGGTAAATGTAAAGGTTTATTACTGTCATGATATTCAGTCTCCAGTCTGAAAAACAATGGTTTAACACCTAGTTCTCAAGATTTTCTTTTGAATGATGAGAATGTCATGTACAGCACTAGAGTGACCCCACAAAACTATTCCATAACAAATATGTGATTGGACAAAAGAAAAATAAGATCTCAAATACTCATCCCTCACACAATCTCTAAGTTTCCACATTAACAAGGACACAGACATTTTCTTACAAATACCATCTAAATAGTAGGTAATTTGAAATTTCACCTGAAATAACAAATTGAAACAAAGGTTCAAATCAAACACACATACAGTATTATCATTTTGAGCTGCAAAGTTGCAGCTTGGTTGTGATACAGTTCAACAGTTCAACTCAAAATTCAAATCAAGGAGATTTATAAAGAAAACCCAACTTCTTATAAAAATTTTTTTATTATTGTACAAATAATAACCGGATAATGTTTGTGGTGCTACATTCAGTGAAAACATGGAACATGAAAACTGTACATTGGGATGAGGAAAGAAAATACACTTCTTAAACGTGTATTTAAGATAATTTTAACACAATCAAAGTACAAAATGTTTCCTTAACTATTCATACTGCAGATCAGGTGAAGAAAGGAAGGAGGCTTAGTTTATTTTGGCAGTTCCTTCACATTTTTACAACCAAACCAGTCTTACTCCAAAATTGTTGTAGTTACAAACGTTAATAAAATATTTTCTGGTCCTTGGAGACTGGCTACGCTTTCCTGGAATCTAACGGTGTCAAACATTTCAAACGTAACCTAATAAACAAGTATACATTACCGAATGTAAACTGTTTGTTTTACTGTAGTGAACCAAACTAATTTAGGGATTTAAAAATTTGGTATCCATTTAGGTAAAGTTTGAGTGTTGAGACAAAATAACAAAGTAAAACCGTAAACATGTTCTATTAAAAAGGTTTACCTGAATATTCTTAACCCATTCATGTTTGCATATTAATATCCTTATCAAATTAAAACGATTAAAACCAAGTCAGAATACACTCCTTAAATTTCAATTTTGATTTATTTAATAACCAAATTCATGAAATTGTTGCCTTCATTTAATTTTGGTTGGCTATTCACAAGTGTTAACATAAGGACTATTATAATCAGTTTTTTTTTCTTATTCTATAATAATAACAATGTGATACTAACGCTCTCTAAATCTGGAGCTTCAAGTTCTTCATACACAGTTACACAATTTCAGCATGTTTAACGATCAAGACTGAAGTAACAAACAAAAGCTCTTTACTAAACCAATCAATCACAGTATTCAACATTGTTAACGTTCACCAGTTAATGTTTCTATTTCTTTGTCGTTGTTAACCTAGAAGTCTTTGTTTCAAGCGAGTTATACTTCATACTGTACACAATCCAGCACTGATAAAACATTAAATAAATAGTTCAATGCACTTCACAGACTTTCGGAACATTTAATTTAACTTCTCAAGTTGGTGAGTCTGTTTATTAATGCCTGAAACAAAAAAAAATATCTTTAGATTAATCAAAGATCTAATTTGACTTACAAAAGAACCAGTTGAAATAAAGGAAAACATTAAGCTTTAGGTTCACTGCATACTAACTACTTCTTGAGAGGCAAGGCTCCGAGGCTGTGCACAGTGAACTATCCTTAGTCACCAGTCGCTTACCTGTTACTTACCAGTATGTAAGGAGCAAAAAATATGTCATGACACTAAGCCACAATGCTCTACATCAATCATTATCAAAAAGCAGGTTTGTTTCTAATAAGAACCTGAAAAAAATAATAAATCGCACTACTGTAAGCAAATTTTGGAAACATCTAAATAGCGCAGCGCCGGAAATTGGCCCTGAACTACAGTGGCTAGAGGAAACAGAATGAATTTGCAAGCATTGGAATCAAGTTTAAAATACGCAACAGAACGTAATATCCTTTTTAAGAAATTTTAATTAATTTAAAACTTTGCAAGAATTTTAAAAATTATGAAAAATGTGACATGAATGATTTAATATCCTGGATGAAAAATACTTTTTAAAGCTGTCAATAATTTATAACATTCAAATTGAGTATGGAATGTGGAGTGATCTCAACCCCTTCTATAGAGGTCAGATTGTAACTTACTTTGACTTCTTGTGGGACTTGTGAGGGCTGCTGTCTTCTCTGGACCTCTTCTTGTCACCTGAGCTGCTGCTCTTGTTGCGCGAGCTTGAGCTGGAGCTCTTGTGTGGACTCGAGCTCTTGTGCTTGCTATGTGAGCTCGAACTCGAGCTTTTGTGCTTGCTCGGAGAACTCTTGGCCGATGAAGATGAAGACTTGTGCCTGTCTTTGCTAGACGAGCTGGTAGAAACAATGTACGTTTAGCTAATCACTTTTTAATTTTTTTGTGTTGTGTTGAATTACAAAATATTGTTGAGTGTTTTATTAAATTGAGTGTAAGTTAATATATTTTAGGCAGAGTAATATACTCTATTCTACACTCACTGTGCGGTGAAGGTCGTTTGGTTATAAATGCTTATGCTATAACATTACTGGAAATATAAAGCAGTAATGACTTGAGTCAAAACTCGCCTCGCGACCCTTATGAAGAGGCTCAAGTCAAATTTTCACATCTCTGTAAATTTATGCTTAAAGTATAACAAGATGATATTTTGACTCCGAAATGGTAAAAATGTGTAGAGCGGTAAAAATCTTAAGAAAAAAGTAAAGATTTAAACACTAGGTAGGTCTTGATGTTTTTATAACGACTAGTGTTGCTGAAACATTAATTTGAAATGCATTGTTTATGGACACTCGGTACACTGTCTACTGTCTACAGAAAAAATATAGAAAAGTATAGACCCAAGCCATCAATCATGTTTACTTACAACTTGAGTTTTACGAGTGAAACTAGAGCAGTTTAAGTAGAACAATGCCACTATTCTTTTGGAATTGGGATGATTTTTTAGTTAATTTAAGACTGTCCTAATAAACATTTTTAAATTGTTTCGTCCATCTCCTATTATTATGAAAGCTGTAATTCCAATTTGAACAAAACATACAGGAGTTTGCCGGTAAGTTAAAGAAAACTGTATAATTAATCTCAGTAACATTTCTAACCTACTCTGTTGTAAAAATTATGCAAGTGAGTTTATATATGATCAAACTAGCAGAGTACCCGTCCTTCGTACGGGGTTGGGATATAGTATGAAATGCTTATTGCAATTATACTCAAGCTTTGCGTTTCCAATAAGGGAGGACACAGTTTGATAAAATTTGCTTCTTTAAATTCACAGGACTTTATAGTATTACACATCTACCATAGCCATAATGTTCTACCACTTAACCTAAACAATAGAGAAAAATAAATTATCAACAATTCGCAAAATATCACAAATTATTCATGAAATTAAAAAACATAAACATAACTGTAAACAATCCTACTTTGACAGTTAGTTCTCATTGTGCATTACAGTTTTTTGTTGCTGCTTGATTCAAATTTTCTGTTTTATAAATTAAAAAAAGAATAATAGTGCTGCACCCTGTTGGTAAATCTTATAACTTTTTAATGCTTTTGCATATCATAGAACCAACTTTTTAAGAACCAACAGCTGACTAAATTCTTTAATTCCCTTTAAATATGAATACTCATAAGGTTAACATGGGGAACTACAGAGCCACTGGGGCGGACCCCGAAAGGATTTTTGAGATAAGAATATGCCTATATGTTAATCGAGAATGTGAGCTATCATCATGCCAAATTTCAGCCCAATCCGTCTAGTAGTTAATGCGTGATTGAACTTCAAACAAACAAACAAACAAACAAACAAACAAACACACAAACTTTCACATTTATAATATTAGTAGGATGTCTTGCGACAATAGGCCTACAACAATTACGAACATGGAAAACTCGCCAAAACAGGACAAAGATACATTAGAGTTGAGAACCATACGAACCTGCTGTGATGAGATGATTTGCTCTTGTCTTTATGCGAGTCTTTGTGACTTGAAGAACTACTTTTGTGTTTAGAAGATGAAGATGAATGTCTGAAAGAATGTTCATATTGCATTAATTTATTTGAATTTTTTTAACATGAAGATGCAATCAGCCAGAAATAAATTATATTAAACTGTACGATTCTTTTTGTAGAAGGTAGGTTTACACATTTATTAGTTATACAATTCCTTTACACTGATTGGAAGAAAGTTAATAGCTATTTACATTACAAGTGTAGTAAGAGCGTTTTTAATTTACCTAAGTGATGTAAACACGCTCTTGCGTAACGTGTAACGTACAAGATTTTACCTGACCCGACAATATACATGGGTTTAAGTACAATATTTTTCATTATCCATTTCTATCAGTAATGTTCTTTTACTAACAAAATTGCAAAAGCTAGGTTAGGAAAATACTTTAAAGCATAACAATAACATTCAAGCGCACAGCTGATTTCTAGCGTTGAACGTCGATGCCTCCATAGAGGTATATTTTTTAAGTTAAGCACTCAATGTTATTTAAATGGGTTTCATTACATCACCGAGTGAGTTTTTTTCAACTTTACATCACTCGAGAAGTAAGGAAGTTGTATACATCACGCTTGGGATAGGGAAGTTTAACATGGCGGGTTAGGTAAACATCTTTATACCCGCTGTAAAAGTTTCTCTTTCAGACAAGGACAGGCGGATTTGTGGAAGAAGAAGATCACCCACCTATGTCTAACTCCAACAGCAGGAACGGACCCAATTAAATGCTTGATGAAAAGTTGCTTAGAGAATAAAGTTTAAGAATATTATGATTTTGAAAACTCTCCTGCAAGAGTGTGAGACCAGATAAAATATGAACAGCTCGTTTCTGTCCCATAATTGTTTTGTTTGCATGAATGGAACCTCCCCAAACCAATCCCTACCATATGACATAACAGACTGAAAGCATCCGTGGTAAACATTGACATCCAACACACATTCTTAGAGTCAACACAATGGTAAATGTGTAGTGCTTAAACATGGTTTAATGTTTTTATTTACTGCATAAATATTTAGTCTGAGAATGGTAGTAACAAGAGCATACAGAAAAAACTATATTCCTAAAATAAACATTGGTTAAGGATACAATAAACAGACTTGCCAGAACGGAGTCCACTCTGTGAACGACACACTAAAAAACTGTAAACAATACTAGGACAGTATCAATAGTTATTTCAACGGAGGAATGTTTGTGACTCACCTGTCTTTGTCCGACCTGTGTTTCTTATCAGGACTGCGATGGTGTCCGCCGCTGCCGTGGTGACGTTTCTTGCCCTTGTTGCTCGTGTACTCGTCCTCAAAGTTGTCCACTTTCTCTCTGTCCTCCTCGGCTGCCTCTCTCTCCAGGTCTGACCAGTCCTTGCCCGACTCATCCGAACTCCCCAACTCTGACAGACAACACTTACATATTACTACAGTGTCATCTGTAATTGTCTAACTTGTTCTGAATCACCATCTAACTACCCCATACACCCATAGGAGATTCCTCCCTAAAATAAAATAGTTCATAAACATTTATAAATCCTGGCGTTATTAGCTAACTACAGAAAAACTCCGAATAACCAAAATAAATAACGTTTTGTGTAACTTATATTTATGGATGATCAAAGGTGTGAATGTACAAAGAGACAACAGTAGTTTGATGACAAGTTGTTTTTATTATTGTCATTTTAAAATTGACAATTGTAAGCAAAAAAACCTATTTTTTTAAATAATTGACAATTGTTTTATGAACTGTATCTCTATCACAGAATGAGATGCGGCTTTTTGTCTTCTGCTCCTTCCATTCTGTCGACCAAGCCGGTCCAACTACTCACGTCGTGGCGGACAATGCCCGTTTCCTGTTCATGTTATTAGGGGGATGTGTTCAAAAGGGGATTTACGGTGAATTTTTGAATGACAGGAGAAAGATTAAAATTCTTTCTTTCAACAGTCAAAGTTGTGGCCACACGGCGTTACCACAAACCGTAGATGGTGCATATTGGTGGTACATATTGGAGCTTAATAGTTTGTAGTTTTTTATATCCTCTAAACAACAAAATACTTATCTAACGGGTCAAACTCACCCTCGGTGTCTCCACTGTCTTCTGAAGCCTCGGAATACTCAGAGTCGTCGTCTGATTCGTATTCAGACTCGATATCAGTCGGCTGTAAAGAAATCAACATTACTGTTTCATGTCCCAACACAAACATGTACTAGGATAGCGTTGTGCAAAAGTAGTAAAAACCTGTTCTCATGAGCACATAGAATAGTATTAAAACATACACATTTCTTATTTAAGGACATTATAAGGTAAATCAGTTGCTATCACACTAATCTGAATTAATAATGTTTATATTTCATCCAAACAAAATAGGCCTAGTTTCTTAATCATATTTCTTGAATTCTAAAAATTTGTTAACGAGTGAAATACACATTGCAAGACACTTGGAAACAATAAATAAATTCAAAGTAGGCCTATTCAATATTACAAAGTGGGATTCAGAGAGTTCATAATTAAATATTAATATTAGAGATGTAAATGCCTATGTTACCAGATAGGTTAATATTTTTGAAAACACTTCTTTAAAATTGAACCGCTTGCACACTTCTACAAAATATTAATATTTCTTGACACCAGCTTATGAACAAAAAAAAACTACTTTGGATTATGCACACATTTCAGCTTTCCAGCCATCATCAGATCATCGTAAAAGAACTTATCTTGCCGATGATCTGATGACGGCCAAAGAGCCAAAATGTGCATATAGGGCGAATCCTGTCAGGACAAAACATGGACCATAAGGCAACAAAAGGTAATCTAACCTATTTACTTGTCAAATAACAGGTTCGTAAAGAACACAACAAATGAAAAAATCTCCACTTCCTATCAGATATGTCTTATTCTCATAGTGTTGTGTTTGTTGTACCTCATAAACCTCATCCTCTTCCGACTCCTCTTCTTCCACTTGCTCCGCGTCACTCTCCGGGTCGAGGAAAGTCCATCCTCCGCTCTCAAAGAAGCCTTCAGGGTCATCAGTGATGGTCTTCATGATCTTTGTCCAGTTGAGGGACTGTATACCTTCAGAGTAGCGGATGTCACAAGAACTGTAACACACCACCAGTACTGTGTAAGCTGCGGTCTATCTATGACTTAAGTTAAAATATAGGATCATTAATCGAGATGGGGACTATGTGGATATTTTAACCCAAATATAAGTGAAGGATGAGTGCAGAATGGAGTGAGATGATCTGTGTAGCTTTGTTACTGACTAAGATCAGCTGTTTCATTGGTCAGGACCACTTATCTAAGTAGGGATGGACGGGTCCTAAATTTCAGATAAATATATTCCCGATCTTGAGGTAGGATTAAGTTTAGTTAAGAATTTTCACGGGACAAGATAGTCTTGCCAATGCCGAGATTAATTCCATATTATCAGTTATTTAAGTAGGGATGGACGGGTCCTAAATTTCAGATAAATATATTCCCGATCTTGAGGTAGGATTAAGTTTAGTTAACGTTTACATGGTGTCTACTAAACCTGGTTTGAAAAATTCAAGGAGTTTTCCAGGAGAATTCAAGACAAATTCCTGAATTTTAAGAGCTATTATCGGAACCCGCTCAACTAATCGCAACCCTTTCAACTAATCGCAACCCGCTAATAATTATTAATTATTTTTATTTGAAACAAAACTTTTCCAAAGAATGATATTTTATACAACATAATAAAACAGTATAACTGGTAGGTAAGGCGACACCAGTTATCATCTCCCGCGATCGTGGGAATACCGGTGAGCATATCTTACAGTCTCGTCAAAACCTGCAACCGATCGGGGCAGGTTCACATATTTTATGATTTCAGCGACACCAAGAATCGTTTCCCGCGATCGCGGCAACACCTCTCTGCATATTTTGCGGTTTGGGCAACACCGGTAATCGTCTCTCGCAATCGCAGCAACACCCGTGACCATATATTGCGGTTTCGGCGACACGGATAATCGTCTCCCGCGATCGCGGCAACACCCGTAGGCTTATCTCGAGGTTTCGGCGACACCGATAATCGTCTCCCGCGATCGCGGCAACACCCGTAGGCTTATCTTGAGGTTTCAGCGACACTGATGATCGTCTCCCGCGATCGCGGCAATATCCGCAAGCATTTCCTGCGGTTTCGGCGACACCGATAATCGGTTCCCGCAATCGCGGCAACACCCGCGAGCATATCCTGTGGCTTCGGCGACACCAACAATCGTCTCCCGCGATCGCGGCAACACCCGTAGGCTTATCTTGAGGTTTCAGCGACACTGATGATCGTCTCCCGCGATCGCGGCAATATCCGCAAGCATTTCCTGCGGTTTCGGCGACACCGATAATCGGTTCCCGCAATCGCGGCAACACCCGCGAGCATATCCTGCGGCTTTGGCGACACCAACAATCGTCTCCCGCGATCGCAGCAATATCCGCGAGCATATCCTGCGGCTTCGGCGACACCGATATTCGTCTCTTGTGATCGCGGCAATACCCGTGAGCATATCCTGCGGTTTCGGCGACACCGATAATCGTTTCCGATGCTTCCAATGCTTGTTTCAATTTCGGCAACAAAAGCGGTAGTGTTTCTGTTAGCCGACGATTCCGATGACCGGGCTCAGGATTCCCATAGGTTTGGGTAGATTCCTGGAGTTTTCCAGGACATTTCAAGGTAAGAACAAATTCCCGGAGTTTTCCCGGTTTTCCCGAATTTCCCGGAGAGTAGACACCATGGTTTACGTGTTAACGTTTACGATTTCACTGCTATGACGAGTTTACCATAATAGTGTCTCCCCTCTGAGATCGCGGAAGATGATCTTGACGTTTATATTTTGTTAAACAGTCATAGAGGAAGATTATATTTTCTCTTTATTATCATATTTTGCCACTATGGGGGTTGTCAAAGACGTCATCTCTGCGATTACAACAATAGTGCTTTGTTTATGGATTACAGTCACAATGACATAGAAAAGTGTAATGAAGATTGAAAATTGAATTGGTTTGTCATTTTTGCATTTGTAAGAATTATTAATGAATATTTTTTAAACAAATTATAGTTTCATGAGAAGTCCTGAAAATCACAAAGAAAAATCCAATCCTCCAAAAGTACAATCCTGTGAAACAATTTGATTTTTTTCTATAGTGGCAAAATGTAATGCAGTATAAACAATATGGACTTCATTTATAAATATTATTTATTTACGTGTAACTCTCAATCATTATACACCATCAATGTACTTAGAGGGAGTATAATTTATTTGTTCATCTGATTTGTGGTTGAGTTTTTGGCAAATGATTAGCTGTACCTAACTTAAAACTTACTTGAGCCACTCCTTGACGTGATCGAGCATGTTCATGGGAATAGCGTTGACCATGGCAACTTTCCTGTGGTAGTCTTTGAACACAAATATCATGTCAAAGTTCTTCAAATGAAACTGGACACGTTCAAAGTGGACCAACTCTATGTCTTCCAGGGTAATAACAAATGGAGGCTGTAAAACAATGACCTTTTAAAGACGAAAGAAGAAGTTTCTATTATAACATGTTCATTAAGTTGTTAAGGTATTTTTGAGACCTAATATTTTGAATCCATCCCTTTTTATATAGTTTGAAGTTTTTAATTTACGTTTTTTAAATGCAATTTTAATAACTTAATGGGGGACCAACATTTTCATAGTTACACTATGAGAAATTAATAGAAATGATTTTTCAATTGAGACCTTTTGAAATGCACCACATTTTTATGGAAGGAAAAATTTACAATATACCAACAAACTAGAACTAAAGATATTGTATGCCTTAGTAAGTAAATAAAAAAAAACACAATTAATCTTTTTGTTCTATTAATGACTCACTGGCAATTTAAATAAGTTTATTCAGTAAAGTGGTTATGTTCTTATTATTTAAGTTATTGATTAATCACTTATTTCCCCAACTATGCTGCAACGAAAAGAAATGTTTTGTGACCAATAAGTGTGACTACTACCTACTTACCCACTCAGTGAGGTTGACAAGACAGCCGCTCGTAGGTTGTAGCAGTACAGTGGAGCGGAACGGAGCCCCGGGGAAACCCAAGTCTCTGAACGGAGTGTCAAACTCTATCTCCTGCTTGGTCATAGTCTCCACCTGTCGACCAAGAATATTATGTAAGGTACAAGTCATTGACACAGCTTACAACCAATTGAAACTTGTAGTATTTTGCGTCCCATCTTCACATTTTAGCACCCTACACATTACTTTAGGCTGAACCTGGTCGCACCATTAGCAATTACGATTGGCAGGATTTGAATTCATCCAGGACCTCGGGAACTGATGTCCCACCCTCTGCCACTGGTCCAGCTTGCTCCCTGTCACATGAACTTGTTGGGTGAGTCAATAGCCAATTCGATAGTGCGAAGGACTACTTCACCATGACAGCAAAAGTAGCTTTCTTGGATTTGGGTACTATATATAAGTAGCCGGCCACCAACCTCTTTGAAACCCACCAACAAGTCAAACCCAACAAAAAACTTCATATTTTTTGTCAAGAACAAATCCATATATGCTACAATTCCAATTTACCAGGGTTTTTAATTGTTTACAGCCTTTAAAATTAAACAAAGAGCCAGTGTAGGCTATAAGACTTGCCTTTTCCGTGAAACTCTTGAAGGCTTGTTTCAGTTTCTGCCTTAGTTCTCGCTCGCTCTGCTCTGCGGCCAGGTCGTCTCTGTCGTGCATGTGCTGATGTTTACCCAAGTCCGTGGTGATCTCTCCCACCTCCGTGTAGAACTGGACGTCCACATGCTTTTTCTTGCCAAACATAATCGCGTGCTGTAAATTATTACAATTAATCTTTGGCATTGTGAACATTTACAACTCATACCTAAATTTCTAGATACCAAGATACCACTTAAATTTAAGCTTGACAACAGACGCAGATTGCAAGGCGGACACGACAAAACTCACTTTTCCGTTGTGTCCGCCGTGCAATCTGTGTTGGTTAAGGTGTGTCTCTATTAAATTTGGCCGACCTACCTAAATATTGTTATGTTAAATTGTAAACTTTATGTGTCAACATGTGTTTACATATCAACGAAGACTTTTGTAGGATTCATTGACCAACCAATTTGATGTGGGTTTGAAAATGGGTCCTTGTACCCGAAACTAGTCACCCCACTCTAATTAAAAGTTGGAAGATGGACAAAAAAGTATGTAAGCCTATCATATTATTTGTAAAACTTCACTGATAACATGTAGGGTACTGACAATAATTGGTAGTGGAAAAGCAACATGTAGGAATGAACAGTATTAAAGATGTCCAAGGAATAGGTCGATAGCGGGAGTCAAACTCCACTAACAATCCTGCTTTTTGTAGCTTGTAAAATTGCTAGGGGTGTGCGAGTACTCGAATCTTCGAGCTTTTTGGTCGAGCTTTTCATTATTCGGCTCGGCTCGAGGCATTTTGAAAAAGCTCGAAGTTCGAGCCGAGCTTTTAATACTAAGTCAAAACACTTAATTTGGGTCATAATTGAAAACAATGTTATCACAATTCTACGTTGTTAATGCATTCGAGGTTTGATAAGCACGAACCTCAGCTCAGTCAAGACGCAATGATTATCGATCGTAATTTTGAGGAGATAGGAAAGAGACAAACGACCACCTATCGCGTTGTCTTTCTAACAGCTATTCGTATCGTAATATACAACGCAGTGCGAGTGCGTGATTGGCTTGTCGCTATGACGACACACGGTTGCCGTGACAACCTACAGTGCGCACTGAGCACTGCGCCTTGTGTGGGAGGGGAGATTATATCAACAAACAATTTCAGGAATTCTATTTTGGGACGGATGAAAGATAAGGAAGAAACAAAAAGTGGTCACGTGTACAAATGTAGTGGGTGACACAATAAGGCTGTAAACGAGTATCGGCATGTCGTTCCTTGTTTGTTTACTTTTTCAGATTCCTTATCAAACACCCCTATCTGCTATCTCTCTTTCTCTCTCTCTCTCTCTCTCTCTAACAAAGTACTGATTAAACAGATTGTGGTTGAATACTTTTCTACTTATAAGTTTCCCTGCAGTTATTTTAGTTCAGTCAATCCTATAAACTTTCTAATGTTTATCAAAATAATTAATTATCTGTTTTGTATTTTATTTCCTTTAAACCAACCCCTATTTACCATATGTATTTTATAGAATAAAATGTTTGTTTATAAAGTTTGACTGGCCACACAATTTTGTACCTTTTTTATTTTGTATAAAGTAACAGTTACCTTGATGATTATATGTATCAATTCAATAAGTGGTGCGTGCTGTAGTGAATGTTTTTTATCATCAAAATAAGTAATGAATTATTAATTTTTGATAATAATACATGGGTCATTGAATACCATAATGTGATGTAGTTCCCTATTTGTAACTTGCAAATAATAATAATTGATAGTTAATTCTGGGAAATGAAAAATAGTGATCGCATTCATAAACCTGTTGTCAAAACAGGAACACGGGTGTAAGGGTTTATTGTTTCATAGGGGTACACAAAGGACGTGGGTGTTTCAAGGACAAAGTGTTGGGCCTCGCGGTTTAGGGGGGAGGGGTGGTGGTGAGACTGCAAGAAGGGGAGGAAACTGGTTTTGGCTATTTATTGATTAGTTCGCCGACCCTTCTAGATAACAAAATTGAGTGAAAGTGTTAATTCATAGTGTTTTTTTTTTATTTCTTGTTTACTTTGTGTGTTATTCTATTAGTTTTAGTGTTTTGGTCTATTTCCTCCATATGTCAATTATATCTTTTTTAATATATAAGTTTACTTTTTACTTGTCTCTCCACCTTTTTGGATCCAAACCAACTATGATCTTTTTTGATTAATATGATTGATAAAACTAAAATATTTTGTGCATGGAAATCAACAAGAATAATCACGTGTTTTTAAATTTATTTTTATTTATTTATACAAAATAGAATTAAATATTCATAGCAGTTACAATAGCCTATACATAATAATGTAATCGACTTGCTAGTTGTTTTGTCGTCATTCAAGGTCACGTTGCTGTTCTGTTATGAAAGACAATCTGATTGTCTCAGTCTGCACTGCATATCTCGTCAGGCCTTCAATTATCCTTTTATTTCTTGCATCTTAATTTAGTTCAGTTCAGTTCATATCGTGATTATCTACTATTTGATGTCTTGACAATTCTCAATGTTTTTAAACATATTAAAATAACATTGTGTTTATTTAAAAACTGACTGAACATTATTATTATGCACTTTTTTAAGAAAAAAAGTTTAATAATTTAGATAAGGTGACGCTAGAAAAAGCTCGGCTCGAAAAAGCTCGAGCTCGAAAATCTTTGGAAAAGCTCGGCTCGGCTCGGCTCGAGGTTGAAAATCACTAACACCCCTAAAAATTGCCTTGTGTATTCGAGCCCTTAGGGTAAAAACACAGTGGAGCCTGGCAGGTCGCATACTCGCATATACGCTGGTCCCCGCATTACGGCTGGTTACCTGGAGGTTAGCTGGTTAGCGCTGGTTAGCTGGCGTGGTTAGCTGGGACAAACACACAGTGGCGCTCAGTACAGTCGCTTGTCAGCCGCCGATAATAATATCATCACTTATAATATTAGTATGATAGAATAAACTTATGTTTGAATCATAGTTCATTTGCTATTTCATTCAACAGATCATTGAGTACGTGACAGTTGTGGTGGTCCGGATGGGCTTGGTTCCACAAAGGCACACGGATAAAACCTCTGATATTAATTTGTCTACGTCCATTATAGTATTTCATGCAAACAAAAAAAAACCAATTAAATAAACTGAAATAAACAACACTCCGTATACAAAGAATGCGCAGTGAAAGAGTCCGCGTTGAACTTGCTGTGAACTTGCCCCTGTCGAACCTTCCCCGCTTGCAGCTCCCAAACAATCGACTTGGCAATTCTTCTAGCTTGCCGCCTAGCTTACTGCTACCGTGTCGGCTACCTGCTAGGCGCGACTGTGTGCTTGCCCATAACAACGCGTGCTTTAATTCTAGATCACAGTAAGCGAGTAAGCCACCAGCCAGGCTACCAGCAACCTGCCCTGCTCCACTGTGTTTTTACCCTTAGTAAGGTAGGGTCAGTCCATGTCAAATCAACACAGTTTTTATTAAGTTTTTACCTCACCACCTCAGATTTGGTTCAAATTTGGCACACTTGTAGCCTTTGTAGAAACTAAGAAAAATACAAAATTTCATTGAAAAATACTCATTCGTTTAGGATTTATAGCTACTTAAAGTTCCCAAAAAACGCCAAAAAAAGCTCGGCCGACTATATTTTAAACTGTCATTTCAGCTCTCCTAGTTGACTTAGAGAGATGGGAGTGATGTCATTGTGTTGCATTTGTTGTGCTCTTTCATTTGATATACAACACAATATATGTTAAGATGAAAATATTTTTTTCAAATTCAAAATCAAATTTTAAATTTCAATTTTTGAAAAATGCGTACTTTTGAAAATTTTCAAAAAAAAATATGTTTTTCACTATCTTATTAATAGAGGATTCTCAACGTTTGATAATGGGATTCCAATGGGTTCACTTACATTTAAATATTATAGTGAGCACTGTTTTGACTAAATGCGCAAACTTTAAGGTTTTATTCAAAATATTCTTAGTATTTTCATAAAACTAATGGGAGAGACATTAAAAGCATTTTTAATATGCTTTTAATAAGCTGCCTTATAAATAAAAATTATAACATTAAACTTAGGATAAGAATATTTAATTAAGTTGGTCCATAAATTATTTTATTGTGTTAATAAGTTACCTAAAGTTTTTTATTTACCTATCAACTAAATTGAATTAAATTTATTAAGGACCTAGAAGGTTTGAAAAATAACAACAAAACATATTATAGTGTTGAATAATGTTACTTGCCTTTAATAAAAAAATTTCTGTAGATAAACCTTGTTTACGTGAGCTAGACAAATAAAACTTATTTGTCTAACTGCTTTAGTGCTTCATTTGATTTTGCAGTGTCCTACTCTGAAAGTTTGTATATTCTTCCTGTGGGTGTAGTAGGGTCAACTGCACACAAAATTTCATTTAAAGATGTCCACAAAATGTCAGGTTTTCCACTTGGTTATGAAAAAGATGGGGAAGGACCAGCTGGATGCAGAAATGTGACTTTTACTTCGTCATCACTTTCATTTTTATCTAGCACATAAGCTAGCCACCACTTACTGTCATATTTGACAGTTACGTAACCGTTAACATCTGCCATTGACATTTTCCCAATTAGTTTTGAGGTGCTCACTGTGCTGTAATTTGTGTCATAAGAAAAAACTTTAACTTTTATTTCGGTCGAGTTGTCTTTGATTGGCAAATAAGCATGGAACTGCTGAGTTCCTTTTATGGTTTGTGCTTTCTCAAACCGTGTACTTAAAAACTTTTCAGTATCTATATATTGTTCTTGTTTCACAAACTCAAAGTTAACAGTTTTAATATTTTGAATCGACCAATCAAAAAGTTGTTGAGGTGTTAGTATCTGATTTTCATAAGGTCTCTGAAGGCTTGCCCTTGTAGCCAACCTTTTGACTGTACCACCCACACCATCGCATGCTCCTTTACCATGAGCTGTAGCCGAAAAGTGCCACTCAGCCTCTATTCCAAAATCTTGGGAATGAAAACACAGATTAGAAAAATTCTTTTTATTCTTGTATTGAGCTGCACTTCCGTCGGAAAAGTAATACATTTTCTCAATATCAAACTGAAAGTAACTTTTCAAAAACTGAATAAGCTTTCTTTGAAAGCAGTAGACGGCTGTTGTATTGTGTTCCAGACATTCAGAGATAATAACATAGCTGACATGTTTTACCTTATCATCTTGTTTGTAATAAATTACAAAAGGGTGAATTGTTACATAGTCACTTGACCAGTGGTAGCTTTGGGCTTCATCCTGAACTACAAAAGCATAGTGTTCTGATAAATCGAGTGTGACTAAACACTCATTTTCTTTCAATGTTTCTTTTACTTTGTTCATGAAAGAGCTTTGTTGTTTAGCTATAAAATCATGGCGAACTAACTGACCAAGTTTGTCACATAACATCTCAAGGAACTCAGTTGAGCTTTTTTGAATGATCTCAAGATTACACCGGTCCACTGCAACCCATTGCCAAAAAGATATATTTTCAATCATATTTTCCTCGAAAACATTTTCTAATGTATCTGTCATTGTATTGGTTCCTGGGCAAGAACTGCAATTACCCATAATACAATCAATAGAAGGAGGGTTGCATAAAATATGAGCGAGAAATGTTTGTAAGTTGCAAATTCTCCATTGGTCAATGTTCCTAAACAGGCATTCTCAATCATTAGTTTCACGTTTTGGTGGATTGTACAAACACAAACTGAGTGTGTACCACTTTTTCCTACCAAAATACACTGTTTCGGCCTCAACTCCGCAAACTTTGAAACTTTATTGATCACAACCATGTGCACTGTAAGACTCTTCCAGGACAACTAGATTGTTTAGTCAAGAGACAAACACAGACAAGATGTTTACCACTGCATGTCACAACATGGAACTGTGAGTCACTGATGGGATGGCATTCTAATCTGAGTAGACTCTTCCAGTTGTGACATGACAATGTTCATGCCTTCATTTGAAACAGGAACACCTAAATTCACTTAAATAATTGTTTGTATCCTGTAGCGTGTATTTAAAAAAAGACAATCTCAAACTATGGGAATTTTAATGAATTAAATTAAATAATTGTAGACCAACTTAATTAAATACTCTTATCCTAAGTTTAATGTTATAATTTTTATTTATAAGGCAGCTTATTAAAAGCATATAAAAATGCTTTTAATGTCTCCCCCATTAGTTTTATGAAAATACTAAGAATATTTTGAATAAAACCTTAAAGTTTGCGCATTTAGTCAAAACAGTGCTCACTATAATATTTAAATGTAAGTGAACCCATTGGAATCCCATTATCAAACTTTGAGAATCCTCTATTAATAAGATAGTGAAATACCCCCGCCGCAGCAAACCTGCCGACTAAGCGAATTTCCATTTGTCTGAATTGATTTTCAGTTAAATATATTTTAATAACATTAGGTTTAACGAGTACCTAGGTTTGCTGCTACAAGGAAACTAATAAAGTGTGTTTTTGAGTAAAATATTAATAGCTTAGTACAAAATAAATAAATTTGCCAAGTTTGATCATAATATATCCATAAACAAGCAAACTACAACATTTGACAATATTCTCCATAAGAATAACATGGGAATTTTAAATTTACAATTTTTTTAATTTTCTCCGTTACTAATAATCGAACAAAAATACTTTCATATACTAAATTATTTGTTTTTTTAAGCTCTTTAAAAAGGTCTAAAGAGAAATTGGGAAATTTTGTGTTTTGAGGGTCAAAAGTGAGAAAAACCAATTTTTACCCCATAAAACCCCCCGTAAAGCCCCGTTCCCATGGTCCGATCATGCTGGTTCGCGAACTCATTCAAGTTTATCCCGCTGTACACCTTTAAACCAAATTTAATCAAAATCGGACAAAAATTACTCAAGTTATCGCGTTCACGGACGTATATATATAAATTTATTAAAATATAACATATATAAAAATTTGAACGAATAGTGTTTTTGGCCTCTGGGGACATCAAAATGAAAAAGTAAATCGGTCCCGGGTCTAGGTCTTACCGTGCCACCTACGGTAATAGCTACTTCCCTAAAGGGAAATTCGCTAAAACATATTTTTTTTTGAAAATTTTCAAAAGTACGCATTTTTCAAAAATTGAAATTGAAAATTTGATTTTGAATTTGAAAAAAATATTTTCATCTTAACATATATTGTGTTGTATATCAAATGAAAGAGCACAACAAATGCAACACAATGACACCACTCCCATCTCTCTAAGTCAACTAGGAGAGCTGAAATGACAGTTAAAAATATAGTCGGCCGAGCTTTTTTTGGCGTTTTTTGGGAACTTTAGGTAGCTATAAATCCTAAACGAATGAGTATTTTTCAATAAAATTTTGTATTTTTCTTAGTTTCTACAAAGGCTACAAGTATGCCAAATTTCAACCAAATCTGAGATTATGAAGAAAATCCTTGTGTTGATTTGGCATGGACTGACCCGGTAACATTCTGTTGGCAGTTTCACCACATGTTAAATATAACACTTATAAAGCTTAGCCCTAATACAAATTGTGTTTGGTTCTGCTAGATTTTCATGCAAAGAAAGCTTGACATTTTTGTAGGCCCTATGATGAAATATTTTCACACCTTACACTACTACTTCTGTACTACATAACTTGAAACCTTGATTTAAATCAATAATAGACAAAATTTGATCGAAATAGTAAGACTTGCAGACTGAAATTTACCTTCAGATGGAAATGAAGTAGAATGATCATCTCGGAATCGCAAGGTTGGAAGAATGCGTTTTTTATATTGTTATACAATATGTCCACTTTATCACCTCTCACAGAAGTGTAGCGGAAACCATTGCTGTGCGCTTCTAGTGACCCTGTTATAACATTAAATGCACTTATATTAACTATCTTATTTCACAGTATTAACCTGCAAATTTCAACGAGCGATACTTGTAGTACCTGCAGAAACCTGCAGAATAAGCGGATTATCATTTGTCTGATTTGGTTTTGCTTAAATATTTTTTTTTACATTTAAAACTTATTCCTTGTAAAATCATAGAGTAATAGCTCCTTCCCTATTAAGAGAAATTTGCCAAAACAAAACCAAAGCAAGCTTCTGCTAAAGATATTTGAGCTGGAAAAAAACAGAAAACTCTAGAACACATAAGGCATAAAGTTTAATCTTAAACTAGTAGAACTAATGTCAATAAATGTATGAAATAAATTAATAATATGACGACTGACGATGGAGCTACCTGTCATTCGCTTGGCGACAATGTTGGGTCGGATGTACAGATCCTTCAACTTGGGGTTGCTCTTGTTGCTAGAGATGACCAGAGTATCTTGCTGTACCAAGTCTTCTTTCTCTTTCTCCTCGGCTTCACGAGACTTGAACTTCTTCTGAACCTCCTTGATCAGTCTGAAGGCTGTGTTTAGGTTTGACGAGGCAGCAGCAATCTCACCGGGCTCCTTGGTGTTCGAGCTGCGATACGTCCTACAAACAAACAACATGCGACAATCGTTACAATATTGAATGTCTTTTGACAAAATCTTAAAATGACCATTAAACATGCAGCATACACACAATAGTGCATTGGCAATACAGTGACCAGTAATCTGTGTTTAGTAAAATGCAGGTTTATTGAGATACTATTTCAATTATTTAATTAGAGTTGCCAAAGTAAATTTGAGACTGCTAACTAGGGGTGTGCGAGTACTCGAACCTTCGAGCTTTTTGGTCGAGCTTTTCATTATTCGGCTCGGCTCGAGGCATTTTGAAAAAGCTCGAAGTTCGAGCCGAGCTTTTAATACTAAGTCAAACCTAAAAAAAAAACACTTAATTTGGGTCGTAATTGGAAACAATGTTATCACAATTCTACGTTGTTCAAGCATTCGAGGTTTGATAAGCACGACCCTCAGCTCAGTCAAGACGCAATGATTATCGATCGTAATTTTGAGGAGATAGTAAAGAGACAAACTACCACCTATCGCGTTGTCTTTCTAACACAGCTATTCGTATCGTAATATACAACGCAGTGCGAGTGCGTGATTGGCTCGTTGCTATGACGACACACGGTTGCCGTGACAACCTGCAGTGCGCACTGAGCACTGCGCCTTGTGTGGGAGGGGAGATTATACCAACAAACAATTTCAGGAATTCTATTTTGGGACGGATGAAAGATAAGGAAGAAACAAAAAGTGGTCACGTGTGCAAATATAGTGGGCGACACAATAAGGCTGTAAACAAGTATCAATCGTCGTGTCGTGTCGTTGTTCCTTGTTTGTTTACTTTTTCAGATTCCTTATCAAACGCCCCTATCTCTGCTATCTCTCTTTCTCTCTCCGCTCTCTCTAACAATGTACTGATTAAACAGATTGTGGTTGAGGACTGTTCTACTTATAAGTTTCCCTGCCGTTATTTTAGTTCAATCAATCCCATAACCTTTCTAATGTTTATCAAAATAATTAATTATCTGTTTTGTATTTTATTTCCTTTAAACCAACCCCCATTTACCATCTGTATTTTATAGAATAAAATGTTTGTTTATAAAGTTTGACTGGCCACACAATTTTGTACCTATTTTATTTTGTATAAAGTAACAGTTACTTTGATGATTATTTAAATATCAATAAGTGGTGCGTGCTGTAATGAATGCTTTTTATTATCAAAATAAGTAATGGATTATTAATTTTTGATAATACATGGGTCATTGAATACCATAATGTGATGTAGTTTCCTATTTGTAACTTGCAAATAATAATAATTGATAGTTAATCCTGGAAAATGAAAAATAGTGAATGCATTCATAACCCTGTCTGTTGTCAAAACAGCAACGCGGGTGTAAGGGTTTATTGTTTCAGAGGCTAGGGTGTTTCAAGGACAAAGTGCTGGGCCTCCCGGCTCAGGGGGGAGGGGTGGTGGTGAGACTGAGAGAGAAATGGGGGAGGAAACTGGTTTTGGCTATTTATTGATTAGTTCACCGACCCTTCTAGATAACAGAATTTAGTGACAGTGTTAAATCATCGTGTTCATTATTTCATTTCTTGTTTACTTTGTGTGTTATTCTATTAATTTTAGTGTTTTAGTCTATTTCCTCTATATGTCAATTATATATTTTTTAATATATAATTTTACTTTTTACTTTGTCTCTTCACCTTTTTGGATCCAAACCAATCATGTTCTTTTTTGATTAATACGATTCATAAAACAAAAATATTTTGTGCATGGAAAACAACAAGAATAATCACGTGTGTTTTTATATTTATTTATTTATACAAAATGGAATAAAATATTCATAGTAGTTACAATATACATATTTAATCGACTTGCTAGTTGTTTTGTTGTCATTCAAGATAGCGCTGTTCTGTTATGAAAGACAATCTGATTGGCTCAGTCTGCACTGCATATCTCGTCAGGCCTTCAATCATATCCTTTTATTTCTTGCATCTTAATTTAGTTCAGTTCAGTTCTTATCGTGATTATCTACTATTTGATGTCTTGACAATTCTCAATGTTTTAGACATATTAAAATAATATTGTGTTTATTTAAAAATTGACTGAACATTATTATTATTATGCACTTTTTGAATAAAAATGTTTAATAATTTATTTTTTTGATAATGTTAAGAATTCAGAATTATGTTTGAAATTCCAGATAGGGTTAGTTGCAAAACATTTTTTGCTGAAAATAAAATCATGACACTCTCTAATATTTTCATTTTTTACAATTTAGTTTCCGTTAAAGAGAATCTGAATAAATTTGTTCCTTGCAACTCAATCCATCACCAGACAATCAAAAGATTTATATATTCCTCAGGCCAGGCTATCAAAATTAATCAAAAGTTATAAATATTTGCAAATAAAACTATTTAATAAACTTCCAATACATTTTAGAAATCAGGAAAGTATTAATTTGTATAGGTCAAAATTATCAGATTGGCTTACAAGTCGTGCTTTTTATTCAGTTGATGAGTTTTTGCAGAATGAAGATTTTTTAACGCTTAAATGTGAGCCAAGCTGTCTTGATGATTCTTTGTTCTTGTTATGGTCTTTTCCCTGTTAATTTTAAAGTTTTTATTATTACTGATGCTTTATCCTTTTAAGATTCTTTTAACTTTATTTTAACATTTTCTGTAGAATATTTAATATTTTATTTAACACATGTAACAAAACATGTTGACCTTGTCTATTGTAATGTTTATATTACCAAACGACAATAAAGATTTATTATTATTATTATTATTATTATTATAAGGTGACGCTAGGAAAAGCTCGGCTCGAAAAAGCTCAAGCTCGAAAATATTTTAAAAAGCTCGGCCCGGCTCGGCTCGAGGTTGAAAATCACTATTCGCACACCCCTAGTGCTTTGACAAGTATACTCGGCAGCACCAGCGATGACACGATTACTCGTCACACGCATTGAATGTGTTAAGTCCTCTTGTAAGTAATGAGGTAGGCCTACTGCAGTTTGTAAACTTGTGGATAAAGTTCTACTACTCACTGTTATTGATAAATAAAACACCATGCCATGATAAATTTTCTTGCCATTGAATAAATTACCCATATTTAACCCTTTGAAATACCCTCAACATTAACTTACCCTCAACTTGGCGTCGCTATTACAGACTTACCTTTAAACCAACCAACTGAAATGACAACTAATTGTAAACTTAGCATCTTTTGTTTTAGGTCATATCAACTATCAAAATAACAACCAGTACGAGAGGAAATAGAATTTTAGACTATAACACATTCTGTGGCTCGTTTAACAGAGTATTTTAAAGTAAAAGATTGGCTACAGTTGGTCCAAAGGGAGTCTAATTCAGTTATAAAAACTAAATATCTTGGATTCTTAATTATTAATAATATTATCACATGGTTAAATTTCCCTTACTTTCCAATTTTGTTGAGTTGCTGGGCTCCCCAACAAATCGTTCTACAGCCGAAGAGAGGCCGAGGATTGCAGATGTAGCATTTCCAATCATCGTTTTCCAACTCGGCAAGAACTGACGCCTTTAAATTTTGTTTCGTGCATTTCTGAAACAGAATTTCTCTTTGAGTTCTCAAATTGACAAATCAGTTGAGTTTAAAGTTGAATTCCCAAATTCGAGGCTTTAAAATGTCATTGAAATGTCAATATTTGTTATTAAATATGCAGTAAATAGATTACGGTATGTATGCACTGAAACACAGACAAGAAACAGACATATAAACAGTCTTTAGATTTTACATCATGCCTATATCACTATCATTCTATGGTAATAGGTAATCTGAAGAAACTTAACAGAATAAAATCAGAAGTAAAGTAACAAGCCTAGGATGCTAGGCTCTAGCCTGAAATTGTTTTTGACATTACTTCAGGCTAGGCTAGAGGGTCACTGTAGGGAGTAGCTCGCTCCATGGGTTAGTAGAGTATCTAATTCTTAGATAGTTACCTGGCAGAAACCGCAGTTGCACTTTGAACACAAATAGAGAGTGCCACCTTGACCACACCATCTGCAATACTTGTCATCTCCGTCCTCATCAGCGGAGAAACAACCATCACCGTAGAAATTGTAACAAGCCTGAAACAGTTGTTCTATCTGACTAAAGCTGTGTTTAGGTACTGACTGAACACTTTTTAACATGCAATTTCATGATTACCTTAACAAATCAATGTGATCTATAGTTTGTGTCTTGAACAATTAATTTTTCACTGAATTTCTTTTTCACTCACTAAAAAATTAAGTACAGTAACACAACTATAAAATGAAATTACAACATTTATTTTGTTTTATTTTTTGAGTTCATATTAACTTTAGGCACAGAAAACATATTACTATAACCCAGAATGCCAACCGCATGGTAAAAAGCATTAAGTGTTTTGAGAGAGCTTTGCCTGTCAATCGTAGGCAGCGCCACCAGCGTTGCCATGCACTAAGCATAGCAACGCTGGTGGCGCTGCCTACGATTGACAGGCAAAGCTCTCTCAAAACACTTAATGCTTTTTACCATGCGGTTGGCATTCTGGGTTATAGTAGTATGTTTTCTGTGCTTTAGGCTACAATATTAAAATCGAATAACTATGTGAATAGGACATAATACGACGAGAGGATTGAAAATTGAAACAGATTAACTGACTGTTAAAGCTGCGAGTTGAATTAACTTTATATACCGGTACCTATATTATAATTGCTCAAATAAAACACGCTTTCAAATATAGCCCTACTCTTTAATTCTTTAGGCCTACCCAACCAAACACAAGATTAAACAAGTTCAGTCAAATAATTGACAGCTATGAATTTGAATTTACTTCAGCATGTGTATGCAATTAGGGTAATAGGTTCAAATTATTTAATTAAGAAAAAACTTAAAATTGCTTACAGCAGAAGCTGATATTGGCTCCTGAATTGAGGTATAAACAATGTACAACAGCCAAATCAACCTAAATGCACTCCCTGAAGTGTAGCATTTATAAAAAATTTATGGAATGGAAGATTTGGAGGATAAGTGGGGGGGAAATAGTATCCCAACAATTTACCAAAAATGTCAAATAAAACCTAACCAAAGAAAAGTTCCTCCAAAACCTCAATATACACCAGTTTTATACAATAACACACCCCAGGAAAATTGAGTTCAGTAATAAAATCGTGCAACACCAATAACAGTAAGCCTACTCACAACAAGAATATCTGCTCAACATATAATTTACTGCGGTCTAAAAAATAACCAAAACCACACACAGATATTATGAACACTGTACTGTGCCTTCTTTGGTTTACGGATTGCGATTCAGTGACAACAAAACAAAACATTTCTCGTCCAACGAACACACTTTCCTACATCTTTCATTAATTCCTGTTCCTGTTTGCCACAAGGAATGATAAAGAGACCTAATGCAGGGTGTATACTATTTTATTAAAGTGAAATTCCAGGTTTTTTCCAGGTTTTTTCCTGGTTTTTCGAAGTTTTTCCAGGTTCCCGCGTATTTGTTTGGTTCCACTTAAACTATAATCAATTTAAGACTTGCAGCTTAAGTATACAATATAAACTTACATCAAATTTGTTTCAAAGTCCAGTGAGCTAGTGTTGAAAAAGTAATAATCCTTATTATAGTAATCATTTTCATTATCATAATTACTTAAGGCCACGGAAACATCTTCTATCTCGATAGCAGCAAAATCCTGAATATTATCTTCATTTTTTATGAACACATTATCAACGGCGGCAAAATCCTGAATATTTCCTGTGGTCATGTGGTCGCTTCCCAGTGACGTAAACGTCATCACAGTCTTACGTTATCATAAAAAAATCCTGGACATCACCCGCAGTATGTATACATTATCGCCGTCTCTCGCGATCACGGAAACGTAATCATCGTCATCCACGATCGCGGCAAAATCAAGAAAATCTTCCTCGGCCGTGTGGACATCATCATTGACTCCCGCGGTCACGTAAACGTCATCGTCATCGACCGCGATCACGGAAAAAAAACGAAAATGTTCCGAGGCCATGTAGACACCATCATTGACTCCCGCGGTCACGGGAACGTCATCGTTGTCGTCCACGATCTCGGCCAAATCATGAATATTTCCCGCGGCAGTGTAAACATCATCGTTGATATCGCGGTCACGTAAACGTCATCGTCGTCGTCCGCGATCGCGGCTAAATAATAAACATCTGCGGCCGTGTAGACATAATCATAGCCTCCCGCAGTCACGGAAACGTCATATTCATCGTCGTCCGCAATCTCGGCAAAATCATGAATATTTCCTGCGGCCGTGTAGACATCATCATCGTCTCCCGCGTTCACGGAAACGTCATCGTCGACGTCCACGATCTCGGCAAAATAATGAATATTTCCCGTGGCAGTGTAAACCTCATTGTTGATCTCGCGGTCACGGAAACATCATCGTCGTTTCCCGCGGTCACGGAAACGTCATCGTCGTCGACCGCAATCACGGCAAAATCATGAGCATATCACGCGGCCGTGTAGAAATCATCATCGTCGTCTTTCGCGGTCACGGCAAATCACGAAAATCTTCGCGGCCGTGTAGACATCATCATTGCCTCCCGCAGTTATGGAAACGTCATCGCCGTCGTCCACGATCTCGGCAAAATCATAGCGGCCGTGTAGACATAATCATCGTCGTCTCCCGCGGTCACGGAAACGTCATTGTCGTCGTCCACGATCTCGGCAAAATCATAGCGGCCGTGTAGACATAATCATCGTCGTCTCCCGCGGTCACGGAAACGTCATTGTCGTCGTCCGCGATCTCGGCAAAATCATGAATATTTCCCGCGGCAGTGTATACATCATTGTTGATACCGCGGTCACGTAAACGTCATCGTCGTCTCCCGCAGTCACGGAAACGTCATCGTCGTCTCCCGCGGTCACGGAAACGTCATCGTCGTCTCCCGCAGTCACGGAAACGTCATCGTCGTCTCCCGCGGTCACGGAAACGTCATCGTCGTCTCCCGCGGTCACGGAAACGTCATCATCGTCGGCCGCTATCGAGGCAAAATCATGAGCATTTCACGCGGCCGTGTAGAAATCATCATCGTCATCTTTCGCGGTCACGGCAAATCATGAAAATCTTCCACGGCCGTGTAGACATCATCATTGACTCCAGCGGTTAGGGAAACGTAATCGTCGAAGTACCCGATCGCGGTAAAATCATGAATATTTACCGCAGCCATGTAAACATCATCGTCGTCTCCCGCGGTCACGGAAACGTCATCGTTGTCGTCCGCAATCGCGGCAAATCATGAACATTTCCCGCGGACGTGTAGATGTCATTGTCATATCCCGCGATCACGGAAACGTCATCGTCGTCTCCCACGGTCACGGAAACGTCATCGTCGTCTCCCGCGGTCACGGAAACGTCATCGTCGTCTCCTGCGGTCACGGAAACGTCATCGTTGTCGTCCGCAATCGCGGCAAATCATGAACATTTTCCGCGGACGTGTAGATGTCATTGTCGTATCCCGCGATCACTGAAACGTCATCGTCGTCTCCCGCGGTCACGAAAACGTCATCGTCGTCGCCCGCAATCGCGGCAAGACGTATTTTACGACTACAATCTTCTACCGGGGCTAAAATAAAAATCCCGGAATTGGTCCAAAAATCCCGGCTTTTTCCCGGTTTTTTCCAGGTCCCTTCAAATTCAAGGTTATTTCCCGGTTCTCCCGGTTTTCCCGAAAATCTTCCACGGCCGTGTAGACATCATCATTGACTCCAGCGTAATGGGACTTTAGCACACATTCGGTAAAACAAACACAGGCACCACAATTCTCACACTCGAGTGTGAGAATTGTGGTGCCTGTGTTTGTTGCGCGACGCATGCGCTGCGTCCACAATTATTGCGCGACCGATCATGTCCAAGAAGGAAAAGGTTCTAGACAAAGAGACCTTGAAAGCATCCAACAAGAAGTCGAATTACAAAAAAGAAAACCCCTGGAATACCCCTTAATTACCCCAAACACCCACTGTCTATCCCACCATTTCCCGATTTTTAATAGTAATGTATTGTGCTTTAGTTTTCACCATGTAGCTTTTCAAGGAACTGTTCAACATTGAGCAGAAATAGTGTATTGATAATAAAATGAAACTATTCTAATTTCTAAGCGAACCAAACCTAACCAAACTTGCTGTATTATTTCAAAAATCGATCTGATAAAAATGAAACTGTCCTACACCAACCAAACCTAACCTAATGCCATAATATTTTCAAATTCCATTACATTATATGAGGTTACAATTTTTAAAATGCTTGTATTTTTTAATTGCCTTGTTTTTAACAGAATATTTCAATGGCTGGAGAATTGTATGAGTGTAACATAAACAAAAAGCCCAGTTAACTATAACCCACACTAACCTTCCTAATCTAAAACCCTATCTAACTTCAAAAAAACACTTTCATATGGTCACTTTTAGCATTTTACTTCTGGGTATAATCACCATAAATACCCAGGTCTGAGAATAAAGCATAATGAGCATAAATACCCTGGTCGCATGGTTGCACTGGTATTTGATATGCAGCTACTTATGATTTTGTAATTTCTATGATAGATAGATGAATTTATTTTATTGAAAGTGAAGAAAAATAATTTGCAAAGTAATAATTATTATTTAGAAAGACAGGAAAATTTAACCTAGTAGTGGCCAATGTGTAAACAACTTAAGAAAATAATTAAAATTTAATCTGTAAGATGGTAGGATTTAATAATATTTGTTGTCTAGGTCTTTTGTTGGTATCAATGGTATCGAAATAAAAAAAAAAACTAATTTCATAAACTTGTGATACAAAACATTTGAATCTATAGCACAATAAATCTTTCAAAATTATATTAAGTTAGACAAAATAACAGGAGATACATATTTTAGTAGGTTTATCCAAATATATTGTTGTTTCCAACTAAAAGGTAACACAAAAAAGTTTAATTACTTTTAGTATTCTGCCTATGTCAATCAGGCCTTAGGTCTGTCTAGCCTTCCAATCCATTTATACAATACAAATTTTAACTAGCCTATCATAATTTAATAACAGTAGAAGTAGGTTTAGGTTCACTATTTCTCTGACGAGGTGTTAAAAAGTCATAGTATACTAAAAAATATACTATTTTTTAGTAAGTTATATTTAACTGATGTTACTCGATTTAAGACACGAAACCCCATGCTTATTTAGAAACTTTATGTATTATTTTAAAAAGTGCTAAATCATTAAATAAAAGGTACTGTACTAGCAAAGCGTCAAGTTACTGTAAAAGGTGTAGGACTGTCCTAATTTATCATGTAATGATAACAATGACATAATTAGGGGTATGTATAAATGAATTTCAATCGATTTCATAAATACCCAATATACCCGGGTATTTATGGATTTTGTGTATTTACCCGGGTAAAATACCCAGGGTATTTACCCCGCGTTTTAAATTCCCTGGTATTTTACATCACTACTTCCTAGTGTTCCACATCAGCATATCACTACAGAACAATAGCAACGCTCTAACAAACCAAGTGACACACAGGGACCATAAGAACCCATGTTTAGGTTGGTATTGACTAAATGTCCCTAATTTGGGGATGTATCCCTTATTTCTTAGGAATTTCCCATTCTTCTGGCAAACTACCAATTACCTTTACACCCATCTAATTACCCTATTTTCCCGTTGATTAACCACGTTGAAGGTCTTTCCCGTGGACCCAAAACCCGGAATTCCCACCTGGTAACCTAGTGAGTTGGGTTAGGGTTATTGCTCATATATATTTTATTAGTAGGGCCTACAAGGTGGTCTCAGCGGCATAAAAGTCATTAAAGAAAGTTGTAGTGTTTATGTCATAGAACAATTTTAAATTGTATCTAGAAAGATGTAGGTGAGTTGGGGGTGAGAAACAAGCAGTAAAAGTACAAAAATAAGTTTGCATAAAAAGAAATCCAAGGATGTTTGCTATCAGCTATGTAGTGAACATCTATTTAAACTTTCCCACGGCTCATAATTTTTTGCATTGTTTTTAACTATAGACTGCCAGTCATATAAATTAAATCATTAATTAAATCATAAATTAAATAAAATAAATTGAAGTACCTGGTAATTTTAAAGAATTGCATTTAAATTATATTTAACACTTACCTCACACACGAGAACTTGTAAAGCTCGATGGATATAAAGGTCCTTTCCTTTGTGAATATTCTGTGCAAGTGAGATGGAACATACTGTGCACACTAGTTTTTCATCTGTTAGTTTCTTGGGATCTGAAAAAAAATTATAAATATTGATTAAAGTATACATCACCACCCTTCGAAGCAATGTGATTCTTTCAGAAATTTTAAGTCATTTTTAACTTTGAAACTTATATTTTTGTCTATCACTATAGGCCTACATGAGCCTACTCTTGATTGGTTCAAAGTAAACCAATTACAATGGGAGTATTACATTTTTTTTACTTTTAAAATTGGACCTAGGCTAAATCATACCTGGTAAATATTTTTTCCTATATGCCTCTTCCTCCGAAGAAACCTTGATTGATAAAGTTTCTCCAGGTACCCGAACAATTTTATCCTCTTCACTCATCCTGAAACACAAATAAAGCTTATATCTGATCTAGTCTAAATACATTTTATGTAGGAAGGTGTAAATTAAAAAAAAAAAAACTTAATAGGTAATTCTTTAAAACATATAGGCTATTTTTAATTTAGCAGGTCTCTTTATAAGTACCTACATTTTTTGTGATGAATCGTTTTAAAGCCAATTAGGAAGACACAGTGAATTATTGAGTTTGAAAAATCTTTAGAGTCTAGTGGATTTTTTGTTGATTCAAATCAAACAAAAAAATCCTTTATTCAAACAGTATATTTCTATGCATGAATCTGCTGTGCAATCTAAACAAAGCCTTTGACTGCATTTCTCACGAGATAGGCTACTTGTCGGTAAACTCAAACGTCATGGTATCCCTGGTACTGCTCTTAACATCTTGCAGTTGTATCTGAGAAACAGAAAGCAGGTGGTGGAGGTTGAAGGTGCTCGCTTAATTTATAGTATGGGATTCCTCAAGGGTCTGTGAGCTTGGTCCCCAACTCTTTGTCATCCTTGTCAACAATTTAGATCTTCAGGGCCACTCACTTTCATATACAGATGATGACACTACCCTGCTGACAATAGGGAAGGAGATTGCTGGGTGAAGCCAAGAATTAGTTTGTGAGCAACAAGTCTCAGCTCAATAAGGATTTAAGACTCAGAGCCAATCAAACAGTTTGGGCGTAAGCTTTGCTTAAAGAAGATGGCCCCTCTACTCAAGTCCAAGAGCCTACTATTTCTGTGTTCAGTCAATGCTAAACTACTGACAAAAAGAATTTTTTGACCACACACATGCCACTGTTCTAATGTTTTGTACCGAAGCTATTTATGTCAGTGCGTTTAAATGTTTCCTATGAAATTTTTGAATTTGAGAGTCTGACGCCATCAATCCCCTTCTGGATAAAAGATTAAAATACGGTATTAAGGCAATAAGCATCTGGCATCAGAGCAAGCTTCACTGCTCTTCGACTTTTCAACTTTTTTATAATTTACGTAGGTAACATAACCTAAGGTTATTGATCTTCAACTTAACAGTTTTGATCTTAGCTTCTGGGTTTTCCAGCAAACTTAGCTAAGAATGCATAGCCTAACCATAGCTATGTAGGAATCTGGCTGATAATTTACATCAATATCACTTTACCTACTTCTTCAGGATCATCAACCAGCCCTTCAAAATCACTTAAATCTTCTTATAATGCAACACGTATATCTTGTGATTTTTAACACTAAAACCATGATAAACGTAATAAAACACATCAGTCATCGGTGCGAGGTTAATCAAGTTGTTTAGAAATACGCACGTCAGCTGTCTGCTACAATATTTTCGGAACTAAAATGAATCTAGCGTCTAGAAACAGACATCAGGAGAAAGCTCAGAATATGCCGAAAACAACAATACCAATCTCGATCCAGTTCAATCTGATTCAGTCAGTCCCAGAGCCTTCGCCGTAAACGATGTTTGTGGGTCGCCAAAGCGACGCATAACACCACGGCGGGTGTGTTGTGCGTCGATTACGTGACGCTTAACACTCGGAGGGTTAACCAATTGAAAGTTAGGCCTAGGCCTAGGCTAGATCCACGGAATGATTGCCGCCTAAGTTTATTAAAATGTGCACCATCCAAACCTATGCTATTGCTCGGGTCTGTTGCACTAACTTACAGAGTTTACCAGGCCTAGCCTAGGTTTAACGACGTCAATGATTTACCTAAGTTAAACTTAGGTATGCTTTTTGTTCGTCACTTGATTCACAGATTCTGTACTTAGGCCTAAGTTTAAAGACCGAAGTATCTGCAATTAAGTTATAACTGGAGCTTTACTCTAAAAGTTATACCCCCAAGCCTAGGCCTAAAAAAGTAAACCTGTGTTTAAAAAGATCCTACATAAATTTATCTGTTAGGAAAAGTGGTGATATGCTTAGTGGGGGTATTCTATAGAGCTTATTTGATGAAATAACTTAGCGTAGGTACTACGTGTTTCAATTCATCCTTATTAAACAAACTGAGCCGAAATTAACAAGTACAGTAGCCTGCAAGTTGACATGGCCGACATTGTAAACAAATTCATTAAACCTAGGGTATGCCTACCTAACTTACCTAGTTTTATTCTCGATAGGGCTAAAACAAAATTACTACAAAAAAATCACTTACTTGCTTAACTAACTATCCATTCTATAAAATAACAACGTGAGAAAATTAATTCGTGACCAATATGCAATTGCCAATTATTATAAAATAATATTACTCCGAAGCGCGCGATGAGAAGAGAAGAGGAGCAGGCAGGGACTGGGAACTGGGAACTGGGACTGGACTAGGGAGCGAGGGAAGCGATAGCGATAGTAAAGTCACCGAAAACGATAGCGAAGAACAAAACAGGAACAGGAATGAGATTAGTAGAATGGGATGGGAATTTGGGAAACTTGGATAGGAATTGGAGCGGACTCAGTCGGCACTCGGCACTCGGAAGTGCGTCAGGGAACTCAGAACAAGTTCACTCCAGTCCCGGTCTACCTGGATTCAGTTTAAACATTTTGACCAATTTTGACTTTTGATTTTGACCAATTCAGGCAACTGGAAATTCGCTTAGTCGGCATAGGTTTGCTGCAGCGGGGGTATTATAGTAAAATATTAATAGCTTGGTATAAAATAACAAAAAAATGCCAAGTTTGATTAAAATATATCCATATCTTAACTTTATTAGTTATATGGCAGTGTTTATAAGAGATTTTTTTTATAACACAATGTTATTAACCGATCAGCATTACCATTACATTTCTATACAGGTTGGGTATAATATAAGAAAGAAAAAAATAACATTATTAATTAAATTAACATAGGTAGAGGTCAGCTATGGCTAGCCCCTCAGGCACTTATTGTCACTGTTTTAGCGGGTCGGACTGTAAAGGCGCTGTCCACCAATGAAACACACATGAAAAAAAAATGGTTATAATAAAACATCTTGATGCAATCTGGGTTTTAGTCGGAGTCTCTGGATTTCAGAAGGTTGGCCTGTGTTATAAAATCCAATGCTGCTGGTTAATGGAAGTTTTGTAAATAATTTTGATGTAATTTTCTTGATGAAATCTTCTATAGGCTTTATTCCTAGTTCTAAATGTATTTGACGGTTCGAACATAACAGGGACATTTTAGAATTATCCTTAAAACTTTATTTTGAAATGTTTGCAGTTTACGAATGGAGCTTGATGAAGCAGTTCCCCATACTGGGCAGGCGTATAACAATAGTGGGTAGAAGTGTTTTGTATATAAGGGTTCCATTCTTAATAGACATACATGATTTTTTGTTGATTAAAGGAAACAATTTTGATAATCTCTGCCATAAGCCAAATTTAATGTTTTATTAATATGAAATTTCCAATTTTAACTTTCGGTCGAAGTATACACCTAAATATTTTATTGCTTGGTCAGGAGGGTTCCATGCAATCTGTTCACCTAGAATTTCTAAATTTGGAGGATCTAACGGTTTTCGGAGGGTAAAAATCTTCGCTTCACTCTTCATCGGATTTATGGCTATTCTCCATTTTGTGAACCATTCCATCAAATCGTTTAAGGAAACTTGAATGTCATTGGCCACAACTTCGATGTCATGGTGTGTAGAGTAGAATAGGGTGTCATCAGCAAACACGGCTGTTTGGACATGGTTTGACAATGGCAAATCAGAAGTGTAAATGTTATATAATAGAGGTGAAAGAATTGCACCCTGTGGGACTCCGGCTTGAATTGGTCTGGCAGTCGATAGGGAGCCATCAATATTAACTGAAAACGTTCTATCTTCAAGGAAGCTTTCAATAATTCTATGTAGGTAGGAGGGGGCTCCGAACTTTCTTAGTTTATACAACAAACCATCGTGCCAAACACGGTCAAAGGCCTGACTTACATCAAGAAAAACTGCAGCAATATGACATTTTCTTTCAAATCCTTTAATGATGTCTTCAGAAACTCTTAAAAGTTGATGTGTCGTGGAATGGTGGGAGCGAAAACAAAACTGATGAGGAGGTATTAGGGAAGCACTATCTACGTAGGAGTCTAGGCGTTGTTTAATGATTTTTTTCAAACAATTTAGACAATGTGGGGAGGAGGCTAATCAGGCGATAACTATTTACTTGCAATGCAGGTTTTCCAGGCTTATGGATGACAATTAAGAGAGAATGTTTCCACATTCGCGGGAAGTATGATTTTGTGAGACAGGCATTGAACAGAGAAGCAAAAAAAGCAAAACCTTTTCGTGGTAGATATGTAAAATAATGTTAGGTATTCCGTTGTGTCCAGGAGTTTTCTTGATTCTTAGCGACTTGATGAAGTTAGAGATTTCAGATGGAGAAGTATATTTAATTGGCCGTTCCACCGTGATAAGTGGGCAGGAATTAACTGTGGCAACATGAGCTGAAAATTCAGGGTCTTGAAATTCATCATTCGGACGAAATGAACGCTGATAGTAATCGGCTAAAACATTAGCTTTGTCCGTTTTGCTTTCATATACCTGACCATTAGTTTATTAAACTGGGTATTGGGGTAATTATAAGAGATGGGTAAATAATTTACTGATTCCTCTTGGGCCAAATGAAAAAGATCAAGAATACACAACTTTTTCCAGATCACTTTGTTATCCAGATATCTGCCATATTTTGTAAATTTTTACACTAAGATTTTTATTTTTGAATTTTTCAAAACCGATCTTAATGAAACTTAGTATTTATGTTAAAGGTAGAAAAGACGTTCTCATGTTGGAAAAAATTACCTTGATCCAATTCAAAATTTCAAAATGGTGGCCATTTTAATTTTTGAGCGGAGCGAGCGAAGCTCTTACGTCGACTCTTATGCATTTTTCGTAATACGCAAACTCCTCCTAGACGGCTGAATCAATGGCTTTCAAATTTTGCATGGTGATAAAGACCATATCGGTGAGTGCCAACATCTATATGACGTTAAAAAAGTCTCTCAGGAATCCGCCCCACTGGGTCTCAAAGTTTCAATGTAATCCTTATGGAAGCAGTATTTGACAAACAAAAACATATGATCAGCTGTTGACGTTTGAATGCAGTAGACAGATAAAGAAATAGCAGATATCATTTTTCCACAGATTAGAATAGAAACGGTATGGATCATAAAAATAATCAAATGACGACTCTAGCTTGAGGTCCATGACGTAGGAAGTGGCGAAGGAAGTAGTCAAGGCGAGCTGTCCGGAGTGTGGAAACTGTGTATGACGATTAGATTAAGGTAGGTATCTACAATATTAAAATTCTATGGGAAGAGAGGGAAACAGGTCCGCGACGTAAGAAGAGGCGAAGGAAATAGTAGTGAGCAGTGTGTAGTGTGGGAACTGGAAACCGTTTGTAGCAGTTAGATTAATGTATCTGCAATGCTGAAATGCTATGAGAAGGGATGGAAGCATGCCCACGACATAGAAAATTGTGAAAGAAGTAGTAAAGGCTAGTAGTGCGGAGTGTGGGCAATGTTTGTGGCAATTAGATTAACGTATCTAAAATACTAAAATGCTACGGAAAGTGATGAAAACAGGTCCACGATGTAGGAAGTGGCTAAGGAAGTAGTAAAGTATGAGCATAGTGTGAGAACCGTCTGTGGCAGTTAGATTAATGTATCTTCAATCCTAAAATTCTACGAGAAGGGAAGGAAACAGGCCCCACGACGTAGGAAGTGGTGAATGAAGTAGTAAAGTGCACTAGAGTGAGGAACCGTTTGGGCAGTTAGATAAATGTATCTAATACTTAAATGCTATGAGAAGGGAAGGAAACAGGTCTATGACGTAGGAAATGGCGAAGGAAGTAGTAAAGGCTTGCAGTTCAGAGTGTGGGAACTGTCTTTGGCAATTACATTAATGTATCTGCAATCCTAAAATTCTATATATGGGAAGAGAGGGAAACAGGTCCACGACGTTAGGGGGTGGTGAAGGAAGTAGTAGAGCAGTGTTGAGTGTGGGAATGGATACATGTATCTGCAATGCTAAAATCCTATGGGAAGAGACTGTAGACTGTAGGTTAAAATAATTACGAAGCACGAATCGATACATATTTCGATACATGCAATTGTTTACAATAGAAATTTACAACTGAGTTGACAACAGCTGATTTTTACCCCCTAAAGAGTAAAAATGCTACTTTAGACCCGCAACGCATGCATTAAAAACGGCTGTTTTTACTGCAGTATGACAAAAACAATATAATATGAACCCTTGACGACTCCCCTCAATTTTGTGGATGTCTCTGCAAACGCCACCTAGTTTAAGTTTAAATTTGAATATGGCTGAAAATTCCCAAGAACACTTTATTTCATATTTAAAATCTCATATCAAATGATAACAACATGTCCAAAAATATTAAATACAAAATAACTGAAATATTAGTTAAAATTTTACTTGAGGCAAACCTGATCTTATCTTTTGAAACAACATTTCAAATGCTAAAAAGTGTTCTTGGAATTTTTTCATAAAAATCAGAATTTTTGTAAATTTAAACTTAAAAAAAATAATATTGCCATAGTTTTCAAATTTTGAGTTGGATCAAGGTAATTTCTATTATATCCTCACCTTTATTAAACACCCTGTAAAATTTTGCAAATTTTGAGAAATAAATTTGTTTGGAACTTTTATTATTAAAAAAAAAACCGTTACTTGTAGCATATCGCAGTATAAAGCTTATTTCATAACGAGTAAGAAAATTCAATGGGTGAAGGGCAAAATGAATTGGTATATGAAGCCATAGACAAAAAGAATTAAATATAGACCGTCAGCTGTGCTGCGGTTACCATAGGTTCTGGCGCACACCGCTTGGAGCACCACGGTAGTTACGGCGTACGTGCTACGTAAACTACAGCGGTGTGCGCCGGAACCTATGGTAACCATGGCAACCGCAGCACGGCTGACGGTCTATATTTCATTCTTTTTGTCTATGATGAAACACAGAAAAGTTTTATTTCATCCTTGTACGTTATGCCATTTTTCCGTAATCAATTTGAGACACCTTTATGTGGGACACCCTGAAAAAGATTGAAATTAATTGCATAAATTCATCATCGCCTTATGTTTATAATTTTGGTCAATCTAAGCATAATATGTTATAGCTTGGAGTATTTCATTCATGATAATTTAAATATTTTCTTCAAATGATTGTATAATCTTCAAATATATATATAATCTCTTCTAAGAGATTTGTCCATCACGCTCATGACTTCAGCACAAGTACCACTTATCTCACAGCAAAATCTGTAAAGTAATCATGACAGTTGATTATTATGTTTAGACGAACTAAAAAATATTAAAACACTTGTAACTATCAGGTTTGGATGCAACTTCCGATGACCTTGACTGTAATCTTTCTGTTAGAGTCAATCAGTCAATGCAAGTTGTTGAGAGGATAAGATAGTTGTGGCATTAGAATAAACAAGGTGAGTCCTAGTATAGCAGTGTACAGGTTTGAAACATACAACAACCAAACATTGGCATTACCATCTTTCTTAAGAGCTTCAGGAAATACAGCTGAGGTATTTGTAAAACATTACTCTTTTGCTCATAAGAATATAACAGAAGTAAATTTTATTTGAGATAACTAGAGTTTATTGTTTGAACATTTTTATGTTGTTCTTACATTGTTTTTTATTGAATTTTTTATTGTTAAATATATGGGTGAAAACATTTCTTTGGGACAGTCCTTGTTCAAAAAATGAATTGAATCTGGTTTCAACTATTTCTTTTAATTGAAAAGAAGGCAGAATACATACTGTCCATTGTAACTGTGTATCTTATTTTGAGTAAAATAATGTTTTGTATATAAATAAAACGTTATTATTTGTATCATGTCCCAAGTACGGTCTTGATAAATTTGATTTTCCCAAAATTTTCTTGAATAAAAAATGTTAGGACAATTTATAAAAGGTGTGATTTTTCAGACCAAGAAGAATTATGGATGTAGTAAACTCTTGGGGGACTGCTGCCCTTGTGGCATTCATAACTTGTCTGTGGATATTTTATTGTTACTTGAAGGCACCTTTTGATTATTGGCAAAAACGAGGAGTTCCTTATGTCAAACCATCTATAATTTTTGGGAACATTAAAAACCAGATTCTACAGAAGAAGAGCTTACAACACGACATAGACGATATTTATAAAGCGTTAGAAGGCCAGAGGTTCGGAGGATATTACGAATTTAGAACACCAGTCATTATGATTCGGGATCCAAAGCTCATTGAGAAAATTCTGATCAAGGATTTCTCATACTTTCAAGATAGGGATTTTGGCCTATCAATTGACCTAGAAAAAGAACCATTGTCTGGAAATTTATTTAACATGAAAGGTCAATTATGGAAAAACTTGCGGAATAAACTGACACCCACCTTTACTACAGGGAAACTTAAAGGAATGATGGAACAAATGTGTAACTCCGGAGATGAACTTATAGAGGATATCAGAGAAAGACTAAAAACTGATACTTCACTCAATGCTAAAATCATAGGAACCACATTTACAATCGATGTTACTTCAAGTGTGTCTTTTGGGCTGCAATTCAAAGCAAACAGTCCAGAAGGTATCAAATTTCGTCAAATAGTGGATAAAATCTTTGCACCCTCCTTAAAAACTATGGTACGAAATATAATTGTAATTTACATAAAAGGGCTAGCTAAACTTTTAAGATTGCGTCAGACCCCTATAGATGTAAACAACTACATGATCAGCTTAGTGAAAGCCACTATGGAATTTCGAAAAAAGCACAATATTCATAGAAATGATTTTCTGCAACTAATGATGAACTTGAAGGAACAAGAGCGGACAGGAAAACAGATGAACTGGAAGGGGGAATTAAGTGAAGAAGATGCTTATTTAAACCATATGGACTTCTCCATCAGTGAGGAGAACAAAGAGGTCCAAACACAAGGTGAGCATTTTTATTATTTTTTTATACTAATTAAAACTTTTTCAATTTGTCAAATTAATGAGCAATTAAAATTATATTGTTACTATTTGTCATAAAGATTACTATTTGTGGTTGTGGTTATAGTGTAAATATTTTTGTAAATACATAGACTAGGTGTTAAATATTTTAAATGTAATTAATTACATGTACTATAGCTATAGTGTTAGTAATAAAATGAATTAAGAAGACCTCTGAAGATGCCATACAAGGTATAGAAAGAAATACATAGTGTTACACTAACATCTTACCTAGAAGAACTCAGCCAACAACAAAGAAGGTAAATGAAGTTTTATGCTTTGTTTAGCAACTCCAGCAACCATGGCAAAATGATAAACAAGAAACAAAATTTAATATGAGCAAAACTTACTCGGTCATGATGAAATCGTGATTGTCTTCTGCAGTCACAGTAAAATTGTGGACATTTTCTGCGATCTCGGAAGAATCATAAACATCTTTTAGTCAAAGAGACTTCATCAAAGGGTCCCGCAATCGTGGCGTAACCATAATTTTCGATCCCGCAATCTTTGCAGATGTGTTTTCAATCAGGAAAATAAAGACTCGGCTCAAAAATCAAAACCCTCCTATTAGATGAATTTTTCAAATGACCAAAATATTCTTTGGGGCCCCGAGCAAGGACCCCTCCTAGGCCGAAGACTCCGGCAAACACTGTTTTTGCCATTAGGGACATACGGCTCTATCAACATTAACATTGGTGGGGCTCTGGCCAGAATGGATTGATTTGGCTGGTTTCTTATATGAAGAGTAGCGTTACCTGTACAGTGAATGAGTCTTCCCAAATAACTGTGTTTCCTAGTGAGAAGACTCACCAACTGTACAGGTAAGCTCAAAAAACAAAATAAAATCTCTAACAGAACATCATTTTTACAGTTATCACCGATGAGTGTATAGCAGCACAGTCATTTGTGTTTCTAACGGGAGGAACAGAAGCAGTGGCTAACTCCATACAGTTCACAATGTTTGAGCTTGCTTGCAACCCTGAAGTGCAATCAAAACTGCAACTAGAAATAGACCAAGTGATGGCAAAGTACGGAGGGAAACTCACGTACGACGGACTGAAAGAAATGACCTACCTGGATCTTATAACTCAGGGTAAATTCCGATTTTGGTCCGGGAAAAAACCACTTCAGTATAGGGTATTTTTTATAAAAATTGGTGTAAATACCTGCTTCTTGTAATCCAAATTGTTGCTGTTATGACGCAACTAGTTTCGACTTATCACGAAGTCATCTTCGGGCGTCCAGGGGATGTCAAATCACTTCATCAGAAGGTTGTCAATACACCACATACGTTCATACACGAACATGGTCACGGTTACGAACAAAAACACAGACACGAACATTGAAACGAAAAAAGTAAAGCTAAAAATGGTAACACCGGTGAGGATTATGCGTCACGGCCGGATGGATGTAGCGTCTAGAATGTCAACAGATGAACTAAATGTCAGTCTAGACGCTACATCCATCCGGCCGTGACGCATAATCCTCACCGGTGTTACCATTTTTAGCTTTACTCGTTAAATCGTACTTTTTTCGTTTCAATGTTCGTGTCTGTGTTTTTGTTCGTAACCGTCACCATGTTCGTGTATGAACGTATGTGTGTATTGACGACCTTCTGATGAAGTGATTTGACATCCCCTGGACGCCCGAAGATGACTTCGTGATAAGTCGAAACTAGTTGCGTCATAACAGCAACAATTTGGATTACAAGAAGCAGGTATTTACACCAATTTTTATATTCAACGTAATCCGGAGGCTAACATCAACAATGGTATTTTTTACATTCTGCTTATTTTTTTTATCTCTGTGAAACTAATCATAATTTTTCAAAAAACCACACTAAGCCTCTTACAGTTTTTGTGGCTTGTCTGTTGTATAACTGAATAATTCTGCCCATGCCTCGCCACGGGAAGAGAACACAGAAAAGGTATGGTGATTCTTCATCACCTTAATGCAAACTGTATGGTTTTTTAAGTGCTTGTTCTTGATGTAAATTAATTTGATCAATGTCCATGTAACAAGAAGGAATACTTTTCAGAAGTGTTTTTTCCCAGTTGGAACTCATAAGACGTCCAAACTCTGTGGTTCTTGGTTTCCCTTAAGTACACAACATTAGTCTGCAACATCCATTGCTGTGTTTTCTAAATATAATACTGAACTAAAAAGTAAATTAATGAAACATAATTCAAAAGTTTGAACACTATCTCACATAAGAAAAACGTACTGTCACTTCTCGTGATGCAATATAGAAATCTAGGATAGAATCAAAAGGTTAACTCAAGGAAAAGTAAACAAACAAACAAAAACAAAAAACAAATCTAACAGCTGATATATTTTTTTTTTTTTTTTTTTTTTTTTTATTTGTTTACTTTACAATCTGTTCTATTATAGGGATTGAACAATAAGTAAATACTATATAATACGAAAAATTGACTTTGGAACATTAAAAATAGCTGTTAAGCATTCTCAACAACAAATCCTTCAATAAAAACACTTTACAAAAATCTGAAGGGCAGGTCCAGAATTGATGGCCTCTTAAGTCTGTAAATTGTATCCATGTTGTTTAATAAGTTAAGAGCTAAATGATTTTCATGAGATTCCAATTTCGTAATATATCGTTCACTTATGGTCATGATTTCGTCCTTAACTGTAGGCATCTTAAGGTCTTGATGTAGTGTTCTATTGCTGACATACCATGGTGCATTTGTTATCTTCCTCAGCATCGTCGATTGGTATCGTTGGAGAATTTCTATATTAGAAGTACTCGCTGAGCCCCATAGTTGCACTCCATATGTCCAGATTGGTTTCAATATAGTTTTATATAGCAATAATTTATTTTCTAGACTAAGTTTTGATTTTCTTCCGATGAGCCAATTTAACTGATTAGATTTTAAATTTAGTTGTTGCCGTTTTCTCCAAATGTGTGTTTTCCAAGTTAACTTCCTATCTAAATGGATACCTAAGTATTTAACCTCAGTTACTTCGGGAAGTTGGGTGTTGTTTATTGTGACAGGAGGACAAGAATTTTGATTTAGAGTAAAAGTAATGTGGACAGATTTAGTTTCATTAATTTTGAACCTCCATGTCTTAAACCAATCAGTAATTATGTTCAGATTTTGCTGTAAATTTAGAGAAGCTTGAAATGGTGTAAATATTTATAAATATAGCGTATCTTTCATACGCCTTGATTAAATACAGCCCTTTAGTTGAGGTTCTCCAGGTTTCTGGAGATTGTTTTATCGAAAAACTGATATTTTTCAAGGAAATTTCACATCAAAACCTTTCATTCAAGGATTCAAGTATGCGGTTGATAGGTGTTCAGCTTATGGTTTTTTTCTAAAGTTCAGATCCTTCTTAGCCTCATATATATATATATATATATATATATGTTCCTATATATAGACTAGCTTACCCCGTAAGAAGGATGGGTACTCTGCTAGTAATGTATAATTAAAAAAAATATTCATCCATTCAAATGTAAAAAAATCTTTTCTTTATAAGGATAACATACAAACTTTTAAGGCCAATATGGAGCAGAGCCCTGATGGAATTTTTTTTAAACGCTTCTTATTGCACACCTAGAGGTTGATTGGAGCCTCCAATCCAATTACTGAGATCTTATGGCTTGTATTGTTTGAGATTTAGGGATCAGTGAGTGGTATTTGCCTTTTATAATAGGATAGTATAAGTATAATAGTGTAGTGTAAGTATAGATCATATGTAGGTGGAGTGGTGTGGATAAATATAGTGTCTTCATTTCCTAAGTTATATTTATTCCTAAGTTAACAGACAACTAATCAATGAAAAAAATAATTTCAGAAAGATTGCGTAAATATTCTGACGGAGCTTTTGTGTTAAGAGTCTGCAATGCTAACTACCATATCCCGGACTCAAATGTGGTGATAGAGAAAGGGACTAAAGTCATGATACCAACGTACTCAATCCACAATGACCCCCAATACTACCCGGAACCAGAGAAGTTTATTCCAGAACGTTTTGAAGGAAACAACCATCGCATTTCAGGCACATATCATCCTTTCGGTGATGGTCCTAGAGTTTGTATAGGTATGTATCAGGTTTGATATATTTTGCTGAATTTAAATTATCATGATGGTTGGCCACTGGATCGTTAAAATTAGCACTAATAAGGTTTATGTTATCTCGCTTCGCTGTCTATGATCCACGGTAGTTTTATGAAACTACAGCTGTTTCATGCCTCTATTATTGGCAAATCAAAAGGTTTGTTGAACGCCAGCTTCCTTTTACATCCCTCGGTGTCGAGTTCGTCATGGTTTTACAATGAACATGAAGACACTTACACACACGGAAACACAAACATTTAAACATTATTTAAGGAAGGTCGACTGACTGCGAAACGGGATATGGCGGTGAAGGGTAAGTTGTGACCGAGGGATGTATAAGGAAGCTGGCGTTCAACAAACCTGATGATGTGCCAATAATAGAGGCATGAAACAGCTGTAGTTTCCTAAAACCTAAAACTACTGTGGATCGTAGACAGAAGCCAGGTAACATAAACCTCATTAGTAATATAAATTATAGCTTACAGCTGAGTGTATATGGTGCTTGCCTGTGAGTCTGAAGATAGCTTTGATCCTAAGAAGAGTTAGTTTCAATAACAGCTGACAAATAACAGTCATAATAAATTTCCGATAACTTAAAAGAGTCAACTCAAAGATAGTGTAATCATCAATCACTCCACTCCAGTTATCAAAACTGAAATAGAACTCACTCTGAAAACGAAAGCTGTTGTATGTATTATGTGTTTACTATGAACAGCAGTAATTAATTCTAATTATTTGTCGGTTTAAGTAAACAAAATCTTTTCTTCATAAGAAATACATTGGGATTTTCATTGGGAATATGGGAGGCCTGTGGGGTAAGGCCCGAGGACTTTTATTACAGGAATTGGTGAAAGGGGGCGTCTACACAAAAATATTTAATGTTTGCATGGACATATCGTTTGTAAAAATCCGTCCATCATTAACGGAGGAGTAGTTTTCAGTAGAAATCGCCTTCAGTAGTATATATATAAGGATTATTTAACTCCTGAAAAAGAACCAGCTGATCTAAGTCAGCAAAAAAAGCTTCAAAGAACGATCATCACTTACTTCATTTTACACTCACTTTATTACTTTTCTCTCCTATGCCATGGTATGAAATGGAGAACGTATTGTTTTTGTCAAAATTTTCGAGTTTGAGTTTTGAGTATATCCGTTTCTAAAAAAATGGTTTTCGAAGAGATATTTGTCTGTGTGTGTGTCTGTATGTGTACAGAGCTAAAGACCACACCTGTAGTCCGATTTTGGTATGTATGATCTAATCCCGGGGTTCTCCAGATGTTTTTTTCATTTTTTTAAAATTTTGATTCATGGTGATTTTCTCATAAAATAACGGAAAAATTTTATTTTCTAAAAAATGGCAAGTTATTGCAACTTTTGTGTTTTTTCCCAAAATAATATCATGTAGCCTAGTTACTCCCACCACTTACCCATGAAACAAGTTATTGAAAAATGGGAGAAAGTATGTGCAATACTTTTAACCCTTTAAAAAGCAAAATGCTTATGAAGAATAGTCAGACTGAAATTTGTTTGCCGAATTGAGCTTTGCCGCTGCTACGATTGCCCACGCGGCAGCCACGCTATCCTTCCCTCTCTCTAAGCCGATTCTTTATATCACTCCTCACACTCAGTCAGCTGACTTGGCCGCCCGCTCGCGATTAATCTACCTAGCGGCCGCCACGGGAACTATCCGAAATTTAAATATTCCCAGACTGAATTTTCAACAAAGGCATTGCGTTTCTTAAAGGGGTTTGTATTAATAGCTATTAATAGAAATCAATTTGGCTTCAGAAAACACCTTGGAACAAATACAGCTCTTGTACACTTTATTAATGAGGTATCGGAGGCTTTGGATGGGTCAAGGAATGCAGCTGGTGTCTTCTGTGATCTATCCAAGGCCTTTGATATCGTTGATCATTCGCTATTGCTTCAAAAACTACATGACTATGAAATTTCAAGAAGTTGTCTTTCCCTAATTAGGTCATATCTTTCCCTAATTAGATCATATCTTTCAGATCTGAAACAAAGAACTGTCATTTCTGATGGAGAAACCAGGCATTTCTTGCATTGGAAATGTATAAAGCTTAGGGTGCCTCAAGGCTCCATTTTAGGTCCCCTTTTATTTTAAATTTACATAAATGACCTCCCTAAAGCTATTAATAGAGATCTGATTCTGTTTGCTGACGATACTACTGCAATCATTAAAGAAAATAGTAGAGAAGAGCTTTCTACATCCCTCACAGAATTTATGAAAGAAATGGAAAATTGGTTTAAAATAAATGGCCTTAAACCCCAGAGAAGTTTTCTAGTCTACTGTCGGGGAAAAAAGTTTAGACACTCGAGTTTGGAGCTCTACAGAAAAGTAACCAACTAACTTAGAAAAACACGTAGTATATATAAATTTTCGTTGTTTTATTCTACGTATTTCTGTGAAAACAAAAAATTTTTAGCTCTTTTAGGAAATTTTGTTATGACAGTCGGAAGGTAAAAACTGCCTGTTTTTAGAGTACCAAAAACCATCTTATGACTTCTTATGAAAATTCGCACAATGTAAAATAAACGGCAGAACTTTATCAAACTTTAATACAATATGGACACATATATAATGAATAAATTTGTGTAGTTTCAGAATTTTTACTCTACCCAAAAAGTTTTTGTTGTAACTTTTGTAAATCAACTTTTTCTAAAAAAACGGCAAACGCTAGAAAAAAAATTAAAAGCTTGTTTTGGAGGTGATTGGTTTTGTATTTGAAATATCGATACTGCTCAACCAAACTGTTACGCATCTTATTTATATAAATTAACAAAAAACTGGATGATCTCGCGCCTGCAAGGGGTGCAGACGCCATCGCCCGCTCAGGAATCCAGTGCAGTGTTGCCACGATGGACCTTGACCGAGCGTAAGGTGATTCACGCAGTGTGTGTCACTGAGTGACTCACATGAAATATCATGTTTTACATTCTTCCAAAGGGTCGAAAGTATTACCACCCCAAATATAGGTGCTAAATCTAAATTGTAAGATTCGGAATATGCAATGATTGTCAGTGCTATATGTTTTTTTTTTAGAAGTGTGGGAGTGACGATGGAGGTCCAAAGCCCTCATTAGAAAAGGTGGTGGGAAATGGTTAATAATTAATAACTGCTGTTCAGTTTTGACCCAACAGTTCGCAGCCCATCGCTGCTCAGTGTCCAGGTGTTCAATTTGGCAACACTGTACGGAGTATGCGCCCAGTCAGAGCCGGTGGCGGTCTGGAAGTGCCGTATTCGGCCTCTGCACTATCCAAATTAAATGTTAACTTATTAAAATAATATGCGTAACAATTTGGTTGAGCAGTATCAATATTTCTAATACAAAACCAATCACCTCCAAAACAAGCTTTTAAATTTGTTTCTAGCGTTTGCCGTTTTTGAGAAAAAGTTAATTTACAAAAGTTACAACAAAAACTTTTTGGGTAGAGTAAAAATTCTGAAACTACACAAATTTATTCATTATATATGTGTCCATATTGTATTAAAGTTTGATAAAGTTCTGCCGTTTAGTTTACATTGTGCGAATTTTCAAAGTCATAAGATGGTTTTTGGTACTCTAAAAACAGGCAGTTTTTACCTTCCGACTGTCATAACAAATTTCCTAAAAGAGCTAAAAATTTTTTGTTTTCACAGGAATGCGTAGAATAAAACAACGAAAATTTATATATACTACGTGTTTTTCTAAGTTAGTTGGTTACTTTTCTGTAGAGCTCCAAACTCGAGTGTCTAAACTTTTTTCCCCGACAGTAGGCTCAATTTTGACAATGCACCTGTTCTATATATTTATGTACCGGTACCGTACCATCTTTTTTTTTTACTTATACACCGGAGTTTTTATGTATTTATTTATTCAATAAGTTAACTTAGTTACCAAAATAATTCTTTACAAGGTGCATTTGTCTGAACTGCTTATTTATTTACTTATTTGATTTTCTGGAAACCTTTAAACTAATTGTCTTTCATGCTGTAGTAGGTCTAGTCATGTTTTGAGGTGTCTTTAAGGTATTTACATTATAAATTTTGACAAAATCTATTGTAACTCATGTTATTTAATGGTGAATAAAGATTTGATTTGATATCACATCTAAAAGAATGTTATGTGCAAATAAAAATGTCTAATGTCTATTCATTGGTATGTGTCAGATTACTGATGCTGATGCCATTTATTTTCATGTTTGTATTAGAATAAGCCAGGCATGTCTTACATGTTTTACCTCACAACAGTTACATTTCTTAATTTTATACCTACATGTAATTTTTAGTTCTTCTGCTTGATAGTTAAAATATCTAGTTCAAAAACCCTATGCACCAGGTTTTAACTTTGTTCAAATATTTTATTAGCACGAATACTTGAACAGAACCGGTATGGATAATAAACATAAACAAATGATGTTGCTGGCCCGAAAATAAACATTATTTAACATTGCTTGAATGGAATTGTCAAAATCATATCTTAATGCTATTTGTATAGGTTCGGGCATTGACTATTGGTAGTCAAAGGGCCAGCGATGCATTTGTTTATGTTTATGATCCGTACTGTTTCTGTTCCAAGTATTCATGTTTATTAATAAAGTATTTGAGAAATTTTGGTTTAAACCATGACTTAATTATTAACAACGCTTTAAGAGAACTTTCTTTCACTTGGTCACATCTTCATTCGATTCATAGCCTGGTTATTCATCACAGTTTCTTAAACAAAGTATGTAGTTTACCTAAAAAAATTGACTCCTTCATTGTTTATTGTTCAAGTAAATGTTGTTTTTTTTAAATCTGTTTGCAGCTATGAGGTTTGTCCTTCTGGAATTGAAGGTGGCGATTGCAAAGTTGATGTCTGAATTCACTGTGAGCCTCGACCCAAAGACCAAAGTCCCACTCAAGTTTCACCCTACATCTTTTGTATTGGCTCCAATTGGAGGAATTTGGGTCAAATTTCAGGAAAGAACAAAGAATGCCTAGCTAAAAATATTTCTCTTTAAGCTACATATAAATAGATAAACTATTAATTTTCTATCTATCTGAAGGAGACTTCTTTCCCAATTGTGTGAATTGACTGGCATGGCTTTGCCAAAACAAATTAACATTGATGTAATAAACACACTAAATAAAAATGTTTTTAGATTTATTGTTGTGAGAGTTCTTATAAATAAGATGTTTGTATCACCCTATGCATTTCTGCACCTTGTGTGTGGCATCTCCCGTGGTCTTCTTAAATCATCTTCTTATCACTAAAACTATAGGTTGTATATATTTACAGAAATATTCACCCACACCCACTAATAGTTTCGCGGTTGGGTTGATCGGACTATGCAACGATAGACATGCAACAAAGTCATGGCGTGAGGTCTTTCTTCCTCCTTTTCATTTCATGGACTGGGCGTGCTGGCATTTGGGGTCAGCAGTTAAGGGTTAGTTTGGAATTTTCTGGTTTTATGGTTGAGGGGTGCTTTGTTTGATCTCTACAGTGTTGCCGTTTTATTTCTGTGATTCCAGTTTTGTCCAATTCTATAAATTAATTTGAAAATTATAGAGTGTTCGATCCAAGAAAGCTACTGAGTATACAAACATATAAATATGATTGGATCGAACACTCTTCTAAAAATAAATAAGACTACCAGCTGTACCAGTTTCAAATTAATACACGGCATTGAAATGGACAAAACTGGAAACAGAGCATTAAACCGGCAAAACTACAGAGAGCAAAGCACCTGCCCAACCATAAACCAGGAAAATCCAAACTAACTAACTGTCGACCCCAAATGCTAGCAGGAATGCCATGAAATGGAACTGACTACTGAGGAAGAAAGACCTCACGTTATGACTCTGCCGCGTGTCCGTCGTCTGATTGACCCAAACGCAATACTAGTGACCGTGTGTGTAAATATTTTTTGTAAATATAGACATGAGCCAGCTATGAGGTTTGTCCTTCTGGAATTGAAGGTGGCGATTACAAAGTTGATGTCTGAATT